AAATTGCAGCTTGATGGAGCACGAATTGAATGTTTTTAATATGGAGCACCTAAACACAAGTTGGCTGAATGTCGAAAAGCAAATGATCGTGAAGGAAAGCAATTTCTTATGGAAGAATGTGGAGAAGAAGAACCACAAAAACAAGAAGAAGAACCTATTTATGATGAGGAGAAGGATGTTGTTATTAGAGGAGACAAGGGGCTTTCTCTTGTGATGCGAAAGGCCTTTATAGCACCACGACATAAAGATCCTGAGGATTGGCTGCGGCATAATATTTTCCAAACTACTTGTACCATTGGGGGTCGTGTTTGCAAGCTGAGTATAGATAGTGGAAGCTGTGAAAACATCATTTCTCAAGAAGCGGTAACGAAGTTAAAGCTATCGGTGGAAGCACATCCTCAACCTTACAAACTTTCCTGGTTTAAGAAAGGTAATGAGGTATCCGTCACTAAACGATGCTTATTTAATTTATCTATTGGAAGTAGGTACTTTGATAAAGTATGGTGCAGTATTGTGGCAATGGATGCATGCCTCTCTTGTTTGGCCGACCTTGGCAAGTTGTGGTAAGTGCAACATGATTGAAGCAAAAATATTTATACTTTTTATAAAGATGAGAAAAAGATAATATTGGTTCCATCTAAAAAGGAAGAAGTTACACCTAAACCTAAACTGGGGGAGGGTGTTAATTTACTCAGTATGGCTAATTTTGAGGAGGAATTGGAGGAGAGTGGCGTGGTATATTTTTAATTGCTAAGGAGAAGCTTACAAGAACAAATTGTCGAGCCACTGTTTATCCACTTTTAAAGGAGTTTACTGATGTTATGCCACAAAATTTATCCCATAGAGTACCTCCAACGAGGGACATCCAACACCACATTGATCTAGTGTCCAGAGGTACTTTCCCTAATAAGCCACATTATTGAATGAGTCCTAAAGAGCATGATGAGCTTAATAGGCAGGTTTCAGATTTATTGGAGATGGGTTATGTGCATGAAAGTAGTTCATGTTTTATACGAGCTTTATTGGTACCAAAGAAAGATGAAATTTTAAACTAGGCGCACGCCTGAGGAAAGTGAGACACACAATTGAAATTTTAAATTACAATAATAGCATTCATATCTCACAAGTCATAGTAATATTCTAAAAGTTAATATCAAATATAAAAAAGTAAATCTATCTATTATATAAGCATTTAAGAACTATTATAGGTAACACATCTGCAGGTAACACATCAACCGGTTTAGAAGGATGTTGACTGGTTTGGTTCAGTGCAGTGTTGATCATAGGATTTCGTGCCTAGGATTGATTCGGGTCTATTTTAATGATTGTAAAGAATTTTAATTGATTTGATAAAGGACTGGAATGCATAACATACATTAATATGCTAAGTATATAATTTAATTAACTTAAACGTTAATTAATGGATGATTATGTTGTATTAAACTGTTTTAAACAATAATTTGGATTTAATTGATTTTAATCATGTTATGGAGGTATATACAATTTATTTGAGATGAAGGTTAATTACTTGTGATGTAAGTTAACTGTATGCTACTTAGAATTGGTTATATTGCTTAATTAAATGCAACGGATATCTGTATGATTATTATAATGTTTATTTTAGATTTATTTGATGTATATTCATGCTTGCATCTTTTATTTGGATTTGAAAGCATCACTAGAATATGGTTATGGATTAATGCACCATTGTCAGGATATGGGGGCATATCATGGATGGACTGGTTAATAAGCTTAGTCTCATCTCTTCGTGTCAGGTCACGGAACCATGTGGATGACATGCCATTGAAAGACTATGGCGGATAATTAATTTTATGTTTTGGATAGGATACGGATTGATATATATGTATATATATGTGTGTGAATATGTGCCACAATATGAGCTTGAGTTCTCAGGATCAGTGGTTAGGGGACATAAATTGCCTGGGATGCATAACTGAGTATAATGGATAGTAATATGCCCTGATAGATCATGGTACTCATGCCCACTATGTGTGCGTTTTGTATGTTGCCTACTAATCCGGTTGAGGCCACCCTATAGTCTAGTGAGAGTTTTAGTGTGTATCTATATATATACGGACTATGTAATTATCGTATGAGTCGATTAGGATGTATATTTGTATTGGGTCTCTGTTTGGGATATAATAGAGTAGAACTTGTTCGTGGGCCTGACCCATTATTATTTCTTTCGGTTATTGTTTTAGTTGGGATTTTATCAGGGGTCCACATAATAGATTCCCGAGTTATAATCTAGAAGATTATTGGTATCAGAGTATTTGGAGGATTATTTTATTGAGATATTGTTTTGGAGAATTTCATATTAGTTTATTTTCATCCTTATTATTTATTATTTTTTTATCTTTTGTAATCCGTGTTTGTTTATTACCTAAATTGTTTGATTATCCATTAATGTCATGTGTAGACCTGATCAACCCGTGTTCCGGAATCGAAGGATATCAAACATAAACGTAGCACTTTTATCAAGAACATATACATCACTTCAACTTCTAATAATCATCATTTAAGGCAAATATAGTATAGAATCAAATAGGGAAAACTTAAATAGAGGCAAAACATAATGCATTAAACACCCCTACCTCAAATGATGAAACCCAAACCCTTAGCTCCCAAACTTGAAATCCACCCAATGTGTACAAGACTGGTACTAAAACGCAGCTCTTGGAAAGTGTAACCGACCTCCCTTCTTGCTATTTTCCTAGACCTCACTTTAAGTGGATCAAATCTTAGAGAGAATGTAGAGATATATTTATAGAGAGAAAAAAAAATGATGAAGAGAGGAAGAAAGAGTCGAAAATGGGGGAGGAGGGAATGAGGTTTTGTTATCCAAGCTTTGGCCCTAGCTTTTTCAAATGAGTGGCTCTCATTTGGTCAAAAGTCCACCCAACACTAAAATACCAAAAATGCCTTCTAAAGTTCACTTAATTACTTGCCATGCCATAATGTATCTTCCTCTACTCACTAACCATATATATATACATATATATATATACATGTATATACATACATAACATATCATCACATAAAATAATAAATACATGCAATGGAAAATAATACTGGGACCCACACAGCATGTAAAACGACGTACGAAAAAATAAATACCAAAAAAATCGAAAAAAATTCGGGACATTACAAAGCATGCTTAACAACCTTCCCAACTAACTTCTCTTCTAAATCCCATCTCCAAGGAAACCCAAATTTTTAAGTGGCTCAAATGGTGAACATGATGGCTTCAATAAAAAGCTCATGATATGTAGGTTTAACTTTTCTTCTACCACTTTGTCAAAATCACTCTAGAAATGGCTCAAAATCAAGCTTTAAAGTGTGTAACAATGGAGGTTATGGATGGAGGAAGAAGAAAAAGTGTGGTGTAATGACCCAAACCCGAAGGTACGGATCGCTAATCGGGTCCTAGCCTGACCCGGAGATACCAAGGGTAAAATGGTCATTTCAAGGTAAGAGAGAAAGGTGAGTTGACTTTAAATGAGTCAAAGTAAGTCTATGTAAGTCCTTATGGTGTTATAAACACATTTCGTAAGGTTCTAGATGCAAGTATAACATTTTCACAAAAATGCCCCTTCTTGGTTTAGAAGATTCTCGGAGTAATCCTCACTAAAACAGTCATAACCTCCTCTATAATTGAAATTTTTTAGTGAGGTTTGCTCCATTGGAAGGCTGACTCAAAAACCTTGAAAATGGACTCAAATTTAACCCAATTTGGAATTAAAATGAAGGAGATATGGTCATTTGAATTCGAGTCAAAAATCTTGATGCACTGAAGGCGTCAGCCAGCCAAAACAAGGTTTCAGAGTTGGTAACTCTCTATTTTGGCCCTTAGTCGACGGTAGACCTTGTCAGTTGACTGACAGGGCTTGGGAGTGACAAAAATAACCCAGAAACGTATTTTTTGTCACTGTTGGAGTGCCCAAACAACTTAATATCATATGGGTCACACAGAAAACCTTTAATATGATCAAAATAGTCCCAAACATGGATTTGATGACATCCATTATAATTAAACTTCTATGCATTGATTGAAGTATATGTGAGTTTAATACCTCAACGGGTCAGTGGCCTAGTGGAGGCGTGTGTGTGTGAGTACCAACTAGGAAAAAAAAATACATCAATGGAAATCAAATAAGTCCAAATACATTGCAAAATGGCCTTTAAGCCTTCCATGAACCCAAATACTCAAGAAGTCTCAATGAATACATGGTCCTTTACAATATAAATGATTACATCAAAATTTCAATTTCTAAATAAGCTAAGGATCTAATCAACGAAAAATATCCACAACGTTAGCATTGACAAAAATGTGAATCGCCCACTACCTCCCTTGCGGCTTCTAAAAAATGATAAGAATGGAGTGAGCACAACGACTCAATAGGAAGTGCCTAAAACGCACCCCTTAACGACCCCATGAATCCAAACAAAGAATAGCTCATAAAAGAGGGGTCATACTCATTTTAGGGAGAAATATACCATCATACACCTTCACATACAATTCATACAAAACAAATACAATGCTATACAAGCCCATGAGATGAGATGTCGCTCCCCATTACCAAAACCCTTTTTCCGAAACTATTTCCTTTCCTTTCTTTTCCAATAAATCAAATTCCCATTTTCCTTACCCGTGCCAATGCATGAATGTTATATACATTTCAATGTAATAAAAATCCATCCATTTAAAACACAATCATAATCTCATGCATAGGAAGACAATTAACACAATAATTACCATATTATTAATTCTTCAACCATGGCATTTTGAACAACAAATCATGACACTATATCCTTTAAACATTTAATTTCACCACAAACCACTTACACACATAATTCAACACTTATCACCACATAAAACATAGAAATCATGCCATACTATCACAACTTATACAAGATATAACACATAGGAAGGGCATAACTCACAAAAATCAAATGAAACATGGTTTAGAAACCCCTACCTCAAATAAACCAAGCCAAAGCTCCCAAAAGTCCCAAATTCGAAAATGCCAGAATCCTCTAAATGGAAATCTACTCCGATCACCTTGTAACTCTCATTGAGCTCTACAACTTTGACTTTAATGGTAAAGATTAAATCCTACTAGAAAGGAATAAATCTAGGCTTGAAAACATGAAGCTTCAGAAAGACAAGGGGTTTTGTAGAGTGAGAAAATAGAACTACGATTTTGGAGGAGGAGAATGATGCTACCATCTGATGTTTTGTGATATAAATGGTCATTATAATGACCTTTGGTCCTTGTGGGACCTATTTGCTATAAAAAATCACATTTGTCCCCTCATATATATATATACACATGCTACAACTACACATCCATGCACATAGCCCCACAAATATACACTAATTAACAATATATAAGGTGCAATAACGCCGAAAAATAATCTCGTGCGCGAAAAATCCCTGTGCGGGTAATGCTTCTAAGAGTCCTGAACTCGTAGAAATACCCCAAACAATTCTCGGAACTCACACGGCACATCCCACGGTGTCCGGCACGTAAAACGAGGTGATAATAAATAAATTTTAAAAAATTAAAAAATGCCTGAAAAATTGAAAAATTGCGAACATCACATGTGAATCAATGGAGAGAGGGGGATTCAGCTAAAATGTGAGGTCCTTGTCCCCCCACATGTGAGTTGGTCAAAAGGTGGTCCACCTTTGACCACTCAAATGATCATTATGCCCATCATTTGCAAATGAATCCCACAATTGCCCTAAGCATGTAAATTTCCACATACACCCTTACATCTACATCAAATAACATTTAGAACATTTAAATAAGTCTATGAAGTAATTTCTGGACACCCAAATTCTGGCGTGGGACACACACGGGACCACCCAATCCGAAAATCTGAAAAACAACAAAATGAGGCAAAATACATTTCTTAGAGTTTTAAACTCTAAAAAATGCTCTAAACCACTCTTAGAACCCTCATGACATGCAAAACGAGACGTGAAAAAAAAAAAAAGAAAAAAAAAAAATTGAAAAATCGAAAAATCCTCAAAAATGAAAAATTGCGAAACCTCACTGAAAGTTTGAAAGAAAATCGAAAATAAAATAACATTAACTACTTAATTCTAGCGAAACCCAACACATGGTTCCAACTACCAAATAAGATTATTGAGACAGACCCAAACACAACCTAATCTAATTTTTCAAAAATTCCTAAAACACTTCTCTCTCTCTCTCTCTCTCTCTCTCTCTCTCTCTCTCTCTATATATATATATATATATATATATATATATATATATATCTACATTAGATGATCTATATCGTCTTTATCGGTGTATATATACATACATATAAATACATCATCTATATATTATCTGTGTATATATATATCATCTATATACATATCTGTCTCTTGCCCTTATCCGTAATGTCTATATACATATATATATATATATAGAGAGAGAGAGATAAAAACACTGTTCATATTCTTTGCGTCAAATGGATTATCCTGCCAGTGACAAACCCCCTTTTGTTTTTTATACTCACCACCCTAGGAATTTAACCCATCGCTTATCATTACAGAGTTTTTTTTTTTTTTTTTTTGGGGTAAACAATTGAGGCCAACAATTTTAGTGAGCATTGGAAAAGTTGATGCACGAGGATACAAAGCTTATGTCAATACACACTATTTATCATCAACACACACAGTTAGCAGTGTCGGCGCCAGCGCCATCAGTTGTAGCAGAACATTTTACAACAACCCAGTCGCGATTGAATAACCCACATAGTTTGATCGATTCATCTGCGTCATTAGACACTAGAAAATCCAAGCTTCTGTCGGAAATATCAAGAATGGAATAAAAATCAGAATGATCTCCGCTCGAAGAAGTTGTCACCAAAGATGTTGATTCTTGGGCGGGTTCTTCTCAAATTGGCAATGGTGAAATCGGTTGGTGATTGGTCGAACAAAGGCTGTGAAACTGGTGATCTAATTCACACTACCACTACCACCAAACTTGCAAATGGAAGCAAAATCATCAACTTGTACCCAATGCAAAAGAAATCAACTTTGAATTTTTTCTTCTCAATCAACCTCTCCGGTTCTCTTTCTAAAATATGTTCCTTTCTTCTTCATCTTCCTCCATGTTACCCTGTACCATCTCTTGCGCTTCTTCGTCTTCTTCCCTATTACCATGTACCATCTCTTGCTCCTCTTTCTTTCTCAAAAACGGGTTGTTAGGTTTTTAGCTCAAAATTCGTGTGTATAAAATTAGTTTCCTTTTTCATTTTGGCATGTTGAAATTTGTGAAGGAAATCATGTCTCATTAAGTTTCTATTTTAAAAGCTGAGATTGATATGGTAACTCCTTACATGCAATTTATGGAATTCTTGTCCAATAAGGAATTGGTTTTGAAGACTTTATAAATAGAGATGGGTATGATAGGTTTAGAGTGAGAGAGAGAACAGAAAAAAGATATAAGGGGTTTAAGAATGTTGTGAGGGGATAGGATAATATATGTAATTCCCGAATGTATACATGTAGCCTCGAAAGAGATGATGAATGAGTGCTTGGGGTTTTAACATGTGGTTGTATATTCTCTCCTTGATTGATAATAGTGAAATCTCTCTCTCCCATGGACAGAACCTAAGAGTTAGACGAACCATGTAAAATATTGTGTTGTGCATAAATGTGTGTGATTGTTATCTTCATATATGCTTATATTGATATGATGTGATGATGCTTCCGCTGTGTGTGATAAATAAGAGATTTAACCCTCAACAACAATCGACCGTTGAGTGGGTTGGAGTTTATGTTCCCAATACGGGTCAACATTGTTCTTTATCTTCTTCACTCCTACCTTGTACACTCTCTCACTCCTCTTTCTTTCTCTAAAATGGATCAACGCTGCTTGAGATAATGAAATACACAATCTTATCTAGTGGCGTGTTCACTTGTTCCTATTTTATTGGATCTTGATATTTTACATTTCAAGTCAGCAACGTAAGTGTATACAGTTTAAACTCTATCTTTTTTATAATAAGGGTAACAAGGTCTTTTACTTTTTTCGATGCCGAAATTTGTGATGGTGGGATAAATTGCAACAAAATTATAGTTAGGGGTGTTTCTTGTAGTTCAAGAAGGTTAGTTGCAAAACCTCAATAATTCAGGGAGGTTTCTTGCAATTTACCCTTATTTATATAAGTTGCGTCTTGACAAACTTTATTTGAACCAACATTAAGATTGCAATTGCAATTTGTAAGAACTGGTCTCAGGGCATTGAGATTTATGATTCAGAAAAAGTGCGCGCACGAGTAATGGAACTTGGTTCATTCCGTGTTCTATTGGAGGAGAAAATAGCATATAACTGATTGAATTGTTGTCCATTTTCCCAATATTTTTCTGAGAATGTTCCACCATTGGTAAACATGGAGCATATGGAAGTAAGTTTGCAGTGGATACGAACATACAATTTGACCTTACCAAAACACATAAATTTGTAATTTGTGCATTTGGGATTTGAGCAGTGAAACTCACACTGAATAATTGCAGTGATATTGATTGATTATTTACACTAAATACAAGTAAGGAGAGTATTTCATTCATTTATTTGTTGCATAAATGACCAATTAAAACAATAGATCAAAAATTCACTACAACTACTCAATACAAAAATCATTTTCCTTTATGATTTTCATGCTTGTTTGTAACATTCAGTTTCTCAAAATGAACCATAAGTTAATAACTTGCGGGTGATGAAAAAAACTAAGGGTGGCAATTCGTGTTGACATGTCGTGTTTGTGTCAACACAATTATAATACGAATACGACAAGATTATTATACATGTAACACGACACGACATGCATAACCTGTTTAATAAATGGAATAAAACCTGACACTACACAAAAAGACACGTTTAAGTCATTTTTGACACAAACATGACACATTTAGCTAAATGGATCATTTTTTTGCACGAACACGACACCTTTATCTGACATGTTTAGTTAATCGATTAATCGTGTTTATAGAGTCAAACACGAAGAACGACACATTTAGTTAGCGGGTCAATCTATGTTAACGACACGAATACGATTAGCTCAAACCCAAACCTTTTTTTCTTTTGTCGTGTCAAATATTGTCACAAAGCTTGGGCAAATGAAGCCCATTTTCTTCAATTTATTTATATATTGTTTTTGACTCAGATTATTTGCACACTTTGGACATGTGTTCACTCTAAGGATCACCTATTCACGGAGCTACCCTTGTGAGTTAACAAAACAAAAGCGTATTAACTTCTCAAAGTGTTCAATTTAAAATTAAATTAATAGTTTCTATACATACTAATTTAGATTTGTAATGTAGTACAAATTCTTATTATAACTTGGAAGAATTTGAATTTATTTTTGAGAGGATGATACAAATGGATTTATATAAAAAACTATTATAAGGTTCAAATCATAACCCAAATAGGTAGTGCTCAAAACTATAAATTTTGGTAATTAAAGAAAATGCTAATAATAAAAAAACTTCACCTGGTCAGTGGTGTTTTTTTGGCTTCACAAAGTGGAGCTTGAGGTGAAATCGACGGCTGAAAACAAGGAATGAATTTATATCAAAATGATTCTTAAAACGTGGCTCTCTCAGAGCCGTATGATCAATTTCGTCATCGTATCAGCTTTCGAGCCCGTGTAAAAAACCTCCTCCAGAACATTTCTCTCTCTCTACCCTCTCATATCTTCTTCACTGGATATCTCAGCCCCGGCTTTGTCTGCTGTCGGACCCGTTCAGCTCCACTCTAACCTGTGCGTTATCATTTCTTCTCTAACTCTTCTCAATGTTTTAGCGATCTGTAGTAGTGCATCGTTTTAGGGTTTTTAATCTATATTTGTGTGTTTGTATTTATTTGTATATATATACATTTTCGTGTGTTCATGTACAACCAAATATGTGTGTGTGCATATATATATATATATACGTGTTCGTGTGTTCATGTACAATCATTTTGTGGCCTGTAGGATCTGATGCTCGCTCTGAATCTTCAACAAGTCATATGTAAAATTTGTTAATTTCATTGTAACAGATGCGCCTGCCCTAGGATGATGTGTCTTAGGTTTTCGATGATATGTGATATATATCAACCTCTCATTTCCGGAATTATACATAATATATATAGATAGAATCTGCTTTCCTGCTCAGTATGGATATTTGGGGAGGAATGTATATGATATTTGAGTGCACAAAAATGCTTTCTCATTGCTCATTTCACTTATTGGGATGATGAATTAGGTGGAAGTGTTTGTTACTAAATTTGAATTTTAGAGTAATGCCACATTGCCTCAGACTGTAAGCTGTTTGATTCAAGATCTGTGTGTAATTTAGTGAGATTTGTGTTGAGATTGGTGCGGAATTACTCTACTTGGGTGCATTTTGGGTGGATTATGGGAACTAGGTAACCCCACTTGCGTTTTACGTGGTTTTGAAGGTAAGATTCTGTCATATAGAACGGGTGGACTGGATTAAAGCTAAATAGAGCTAACCTGCATGGGTTTTGGATAATGGGTTAGGAAACAAAAGTCTTAGGTTAGGAAACAAAAGCCTTGTCATGCTGTATGCTGGTGCTTATGTGCATTCATTTTGATTCCTCTCTACTCAAATAGTTTGGGGACTTTTTTGGTTTCAAAAAAGAGGAAAAAGATAATTTGAGCCATCATCCTATTGATGGCACAGGACAACTTTAGAATTTTGTGAGTCACCATTCTTTTAAAGATTCATCAACACTTGTATAATTCCTGTTAATTTCTATGGTCATCCCATTTACAATGATGAACATTTTATCTAATATTAAATGGTACCATTCAACTTTCGTGGTATTCATATTAGGGGAACATATGCATTTTGTGAGACACCATTCTTTCCCCTTTCAACTAAACTTTTTTTCCGGTATTAATTTTCGTCATGCACTTGTTCGTGTATGCATGCAGTTGGGGATGCCGACATATGACGAGCAGGCACATGTTTGAAATGCATATATGCAAAACCAATATAGAAGAAAAAACACTTTGATTGTATAGGGAATTTCGTTTCATTTTTAATTTTCAATTTCCAAAATATCTATTTTTCATTTCTTGTTATTTTTAATCTATTTGTCGTAAAAGTTACTTGTCATTTTACGGTACATAATATGAATTCAAATGTTGTTTGTGCATCTATCTGGGACTGTGTGTGAGTCTTGGTGGAGTCTTGAATTAAATGGCCTTCTATATATAATGGGAAGGCCAAAAAAGATCCGTACTGCTAACTTAGATTGTCGTGACAAAGCTTAGTTGAATATGGCAAAAGGCTTCTAGCCAACAATGTTCCTTTTAATCAAGGGTGCTTGCAAAAGCTTAACTCACGTAGCTTAATTTTTATTTTTGAGGAGGAGAATATGCAACATGATAAAGGATATCTCTTGTGTACAAGTATTAAGTTTGTCTTGTATCTAATGAAAGTTCATTAATTTAGGATTGGGATAGGATCATAAGAATGATTTGTATGTATTATTTTTAGTGTAATTTTAGAGTATGGACCTGTGATATGATAACCAATAAAAAGGGAAAGAATAGAAGAAAGAAAAAGGTTGCGCAGCTTGGGCTGACTCACCTTTCTTCAACAAAAGAGTTGGACATCTTGATTGAGGCTTTCGTGTAGTCTCACCACAAGGGTATCGTGTATGGCTTATGATGACAAAAAAAAATTCGCTGAGACATTTTCTTTAATTCATTGCTTCAAAATAGGGAAATAAGTTGCTTGCATTGAGGATTCATTGTGGACTAAATCTTGGAAATTATACATCAAAACTAAATAGTAAATATTGCACCATTAAACACAGATGGTTGCATAGGACCCCTCATTTACTCATCAAACAAATTCCTAAGCTGGTTGGGAAAAATCAGCTAGTCACTATATTTGCTGATGACAAAGAAGTGGGCATTTCCTTTATGGCCTAATTGGTTTGGTACAGCACTAAGCTCAAGTTGTTTTTTATTTTTAATTTACCTGGTTTCAAGCTTTGAGACTGCAGTGAGTATTGCGTATGAGTGATGTATAGATAAAATGTGAAGCAGTGAATGAAAAAATATCTGAAGCTGATTGTTTTCCTGATTGTGTGATTCCATCACCTCTTAGGTGTTTGCTAAGAATTCTTGATGTGATTTCCTCATCCATCAACTCTCTCTAATTTCTTCTTTGCAACCCCTTAGTGTTCAATCTTTCAAACCGTGTTCAAATTGCAAATCAAGCTCTATATATAACTTTCACAGCCTTGTAAAAACTGATACATCTCCTGGCTGTCATAGATGTTTGGTGTCAAAAAATTAATATCCTGCTCAACTCCTTGGATTAAAAATTGCCGATTTAATCTTTTTACTTATCTAATATACTGATGGCATCTTTTTTTTTTTTTTTTGGGGGGGGGGGGGGGGGGGGGGGGGGGGCGCTAATTACAAATAGAGTTTGGCAAATTCCTAGACAGTAAGCTCCTGTTAGCATCAGGGAGGAACTATTTTCATAGAAGATAGTTTATGCCTGGTGCTTTGGATCTCTGGAATAAGCCGCCTTCCATCTTTATATGCATTGCAAAACTGCCTTTGATACCCTTTTCTCCAAACGTGGCATTTTATTCTTGCAAGTCCTTCATGTTCTATTTTGTTGTTTCATTTGAGGGTAAAAATTTGTTCAGGACCTCATATTTTCTTGATGAATCACCTCCCATCTTTCTCACTGTCCTCTTGATGTATTGATAATTCAGTTTTGAGCTTTTCCAAATCTATGACTGTTGTCTATCTTTTATTGAATATAATTTTGTATTTCTTGTTTTGCTTCTTCTTAATTGACAGGAATTTTGACTGAAATGGCTGGAGGAAGAGCAATCCACCAATTGCTGCGTGGGAAACTTCAATCTCAAACTACTGTAAGAATCCTTTTCCTCCTTTGCACTGTTTAATATAGGTATTAGCAGTCTGTCTGTATTTGGATTTTCTTCTTCTAGGAAATCCTTGGAGAACAATTTTAATTTGTTCAAGTTTCAAATGCTTCTTAATATCTGATTATCAAACCTCAAGTTCCATTGGTAACAGCAATTATTTTCACCCATTTAAATCTCTTGGAAGAATCTTTTTCCTTTTTTGCTTCACATTTGTCTACTGCAGTCTTAATTGCCTGTGGGACTCTAATTGGATTTTTAAGAGAAGTTACAGTGACAACTCTACTATGTGTAGTCTTCATAAGCCTTCTAGAAGCAGTTTCTTAAACATCAATTTGTGTATGAAAAAAAAAAATTCTCTTAATTAGATAAGGTTTATTTCGAATTAAGTAGCATTAATTCAACTTTGCAAACATGGCAATATTATGATTTATGATGTTGTTCAGACAAAATAATTTATGTATTTTTTGAAGATTGCTTGGGTCTTGGCATCTTCTTCTCTTTATTTTGTAGTTAATTTCGTTGATTCTCTGGAAACTATGGGCATATCTGTGATTCATTTCCAATATTACTTTCTGAACTTTCCAAAAACATTGATAATGACATAGGCAAAGTTCATTAAATATGCTGTTTTCTCATGTTTTGTTTTTACCAGATGAAAGGTGGTTAGTAGGTTAATGAATATTTTTTCTTTCTGGTCCCCTTTTAGGTACTTTTTCAAGACGCAACACATTTTAAATTTTTTATCTTAAAAAAGTTCTCTTTATGAGTCTTGTTTACATAAAATAGTCTTTTTCCTCTTCTTTGTTTGTTCATTTTTCTCTTGTTGTTCAGCACTTCAGCTATTAGAAAGTGAGATGTTAACACTTTTTAGTTTCACTTGGTTTGATTGAAATGGGCAATGATGTAAGAAGTCCATAAACTAAAATACTTTGGGAGCCGTTGCACTTAAACAAACACATCCTTAACACACAGACCCACCACACTCAAACTATGATTGAGAATTGACCTTCAAAGTCTGGCAATGTCTAAGTGAGTAGCTTATAGTTATTTAGCTCTTTCTTCTATGATTTCCTCACAAATGAGGAAGATACGAAAAGTGGTCAAGTTTTTCCAGTACTTAAAATGGATGGCTGGAAACCACGTCCTAGTCACTGCTTCTCTATATTTTCTTGATCAATCATGTGGAGAGAGGTACATTCATTTTATTGGGCTGAAGTGGAGATGTACTTCCTGGATTTACAATATTTCAAATATTGCTCTGATAGATGAAGCTTAATGTTAGGCATTCGATTTCTTATGTAGTGCTGGTTAGAGGAGTCTCTTATACATAAAGAAACGATGAGACTTGGCTGGTTTGAAGCAAATAGAGGAAAATGAAAAAGTGTGCCAAGTGCTTCAATTGGATAGTGGAGCATTGTTTTCAAATATAAATATAGGGCCAAGTGAAGTTGTGGTCCGGAAGCAGTAGTTGATAAGGAAGTTGGATGACTTGATTTGTATTTCACTACAAATGCACAGATTTTGTGCTGGATTGCCCATGGGACCATGGACTTTTTGCTCAATCCTTCTAAACAGGATCACTTATGTTAATTTGAAGAATTGAGTTTGGGATGCTCATAAAATTAATTGAATGGGTTGCCCCTATGGATTTGGGTTTCATATAATCTAATAAATTGTGCAAGTGATACTATAAAAAACAGGCACATGAATTATTCTTTAAGACCTTTTACGCTTAACATGTTCCTAGATATTCATTTAATACAAGTATAGACTACTGTGCATTCTATAGGATCTCTTTTACCTGATGGGGTTGCAAATTGAATATCGAGTTCCTATAAAGTTTTTGTGATACATGACATGCTTATTACACATGTTTTTGCAACCTGAGCTTCAAAGGATTTTTACTTGAATGGTTTTTGAATACACGAGTAACATTTGCACCTCCAATAAAAGTTCTTATTTGTGTTGTGATATTCTAATAAATTTAATTTGACTGAATGTCGTATACAAGTATCTTCTATTTGTCAGTGGTATAAAATTTTGAATTGAATTCCTAGTGACAACTGACATATAATATGATTATAAAGTTATATCGACTACAGTTCTTTATATTCTTCTTCTTCTTTTTTCTTTCTTTCTTTCTTTCTTTGTGGGATTTAGTATTCAGTTTCTCAGTGGGTACGTTACTTTAACGAAGTTACACGGCCTGGTCCTGTAGGATGTTTGTCATTCATGTAAAACTAAGAGTTAAAAGTGGTTAAGGTAAACCGCCAATTAAGAAAATTTTAGGGGCTGGAATAATGCTGTTTTGACGCGTGGACTGTTATATGGACTCTTTAACATTCAGAGCTGAGTTGGCAATTCTTATTTCCCTTGAATGTAACATTTAATGATTGATTGATACTATAGTCATTGCTTAGTTATGGACGCTATACAATAATTTCAGGCTCTTCCAGTTTGGTCATCCCGTCCAGTGGAAGATGGATCTGCTCGCATGAAGGTGTTGAGAACGTTTGCACTCCTTGGGGCAGGTGTAACAGGGCTTTTGAGTTTTACAACAATTACATCTGCTGATGAGGCGGAACATGGTTTGGAGTGTCCTAACTATCCTTGGCCTCACAAAGGGATCCTCAGTTCATATGACCATGCTTCGTAAGTATCTGCTGAACCTCTGAAATTTTTGCTCTAACATCTGTTCAGTTTGCTTATGGTTTGGGAAGCTATATGACTATTTTGAAATCATTCCAATCAGAAATGCAATTTGGTTCGGTTGTTTGTACATTGATCCTATCATACCTTTTAACCTGGGAACTGACATATTTAGGGCTATATAGATAGTGTTTCTATCTTTTTTGTGCAGCATTGTTAACCTGAATCTATCCTTATAAATTCAGCATTGCGTCTAAAATATTTGTGGTGCTGGATATCTATTATATATATTCCGAACCTTTATTTTTCTGTAGGAAACCCACTATGTTTATTGATTTAATTGCTTGCAATCGATAGTCTGTTTCATGCTACTGTTTATTTTAATAATTTCTTGTTAAATTATATGTGAGCAGAATTCGTCGTGGTCACGAGGTTTACCAGCAAGTCTGTGCTTCCTGCCACTCAATGTCCCTAATTTCATATCGTGACTTGGTGGGTGTGGCATACACCGAGGAGGAGACAAAGGCTATGGCAGCTGAGATTGAGGTGGTTGATGGACCTAATGATGAGGGCGAGATGTTTACTCGCCCTGGTAAACTTAGCGATCGTCTTCCTCAGCCATATCCAAATGAGCAAGCAGCTAGGTTTGCTAATGGAGGGGCCTATCCCCCTGATCTTAGTCTCATCACTAAGGTTATTCCTGCCTCTGGTTTTGATTTTCCCTTTTCTTGGAAATTGTAAGTATCTCCGTGACAATTTCTTACTGTTTTCATTCCAGGCTCGTCACAATGGTCAGAACTACGTATTTGCCCTGCTAACTGGTTACCGTGATCCTCCTGCTGGTGTTTCGGTAATTCCTCACTAATTTCTACTGGTTTGTAGTATGTAGTGTTTTTCTTTGTTTGGTTGCATCTTTGTTCTAAAAAATTCTAATACGATTTTGTATGCTTACTTGAGAACAGTATGGTTTGCAATCGCATGGATACCATGTGATGATTATGTTGGTCAATAATGCAGAAAGAAACATTTAAATTTGCATTAATTTGTGCTGGCTTTAAGTTTCGCATTAAGAATTGCTTATTTGTCATCTTTCTTTTTTTGTTTCTTTCTATCACTTGCGCCTACAGTATCCCTCCTTTACCCCCACTTCTGGAAAGTTTTAAATTTTTTTTATGATATGTTAAACCAGTCGCGATGCGATAGCGAAAATTGACTCTCTACCTTTCAAATACTGAGTTCAAATAGCATGTGATTACAAATGAACCAGCCCAATTACTAGTTTCCAAAAGCCAATCCTTTCTAGTGTCAAACACAAACTGATGATGGGTTCCATATATAATTGTTTGCGACTGCTTTTTGCTGTAGACAACATGGTTTAACTCAGCGCTTATCATATTATTTCCTTATTTTCACCACACAGCTGCACTCAGTGCACTAATGTGTTACGATGAGTTTTCACTGTCCATAGGCTGATTCAATGCAGAAGCTTCTTGATTTGAGATCCAGTACATTTTGCACATCTACTCTTTCCAATCAACCACGCTGGCATGCCATGAGGGAAAAATAAATGGAAAAAAAGAAAGGATGTTTTGTATGGAACTTTCCAACTTTAGGCAGTATCCAACACCCCCCCCGCCCCCCCCCCAAATTCCTTGACGACCTTGTAGTTGGCACATTTTGCATTCTTTCTTTTATGTAATTGTTTTTATCATATCATGTAGGGAACACATACATTGCTGTGTAATTCATGATTTTTTAGGCCGTTATTTGGTTTTAGCTTTTTTCTTGTTTGTGTTTAGCTGCTCTAGTTTTTACACTTATTTGCTAATTTTAATTGGTCATGAAGGTGAGATGTTTAACCATAAGATGATAAAAACTCAACAAGAACTAGATATTCCAGTAAAAGATTAGAAGTCAGATGTAATCCCTGCAAATGCGCAACCTTGCTTATATTTTAGGGTTAGAATTTTGTTTGGAATAATGGTGTTTCTTTGTCTAATAAACCTGCAAATTTATTTTAGATCCGAGAAGGGCTGCACTACAATCCCTACTTTCCAGGGGGAGCCATTGCTATGCCTAAAATGCTTATTGATGGTGCTGTTGAATATGAAGATGGTACTCCTGCAACTGAAGCTCAGGTTTGATTTCCTACTCATAGTGCCTGGTGCTGATCGTAGGCTCTTCGTTACACATTGCATATTGTTGTTCATGTTCTCTTTAGCCTCTTATAAAGTCCATACTCTCATGCATAAACTGTTGCAGATGGGAAAAGATGTTGTGTCATTTTTGTCATGGGCTGCAGAACCGGAAATGGAAGAGAGAAAACTGGTACGTCGGCTTAATTATATCAAACTATGTTGTGCTAAAAGCTAATTAATTACTGTCATCATGTGATTTCAAATGCAGATGGGATTCAAGTGGATATTTTTATTGTCACTGGCTTTACTTCAAGCTGGTTACTATAGGCGCATGAGGTGGTCTGTTCTCAAGTCACGTAAGCTGGTCCTTGATGTCGTCAACTAGTTTCTTATGGTCTCTTTTGATCCAATGCCTGTGGGAGAACTTGAAAATGCAATAATTGTCTTATAAAACAATTTATGTTTTGCTGCAATGTTAAAATTGGTTTGTCATTTCCTGGGCAATTGTGACCAGTAGAGTTTCTATTTCGATTAGAGGGAAAAATAAGAGATTCATATATGTATACATTATTCTTTTGTCTGAACTCTAAACTTGTAAGAATTTTGATCTGGTGCGAAATTCCCAGATTGCTTAGAATCTCCTTTATAATTAGCAGTTATGGTTTTCAAGTATTCAATTCTTACGGTTGTTGAAGCATTAAGTGAGAATTGTGGGCAATACACTTTGCTTTCAAGGGTTCATTTGTTTTGGTGTTACTTAAAAGATCATGAAAATTGGGATTATTGTTATTTAATCTCTCATTGTGCCATTCAAAACCAAAGTTGGGAACCTCTGTAGTTCAGCATGGGGGCTGCACTGCATCGGACGGATTGTGTGATCGTGTTCAAATGATAGGAGCCGTGGATGTGGTACAGCATTGCAGAGGATCTGAGCTCCTGAAACCAACACTGGAAAAGGATGTTCCGCCATCTCCCTGTTAATGTTCATGTCAATTGAGCATTTCCTGATTAGCATGAAGCAGGGATAGGAGCAGCTTGATATTGGATGGAAAGTTGGAAACTGAAAATCCTGAGATTTGTCATGATAATTTTTTTTTTTTTTTTTTTGCCCTTTGAATGGGAGTACTATTTTCTGAAAAGATATATGATTCTTAAAACACAAATACAATAAAAGGCATCCTTTTTTATTTATTTAATTGCTACTTACAATCAAGAATTTTAATTTATAATTTAAAATAGGATGGCATGTTGCTCCATACCGTAAATTGCAATTACTTTCACCTAAATAAAGGGGAAAAAGAAAAAAGCCATAATTTGGGCTTTCCAAATTTTAGCTGTTATTTGGTGCTTGTGTAGTGCTGTACTATGGAGGAAAAAGGAAGGAAAAAAAAAAATTAAGTGGGGGAATCCAGCAAAATAAAAAGCCTCTTCTAATTAGAATACAATAATCTTTTTATTTTTTTAAATTTGACAACCGAACAACTCTTTCAATTTTAAACGATCAGAAATTTTCAAATATCATACTCTATTTAATTTTTTACGGAGCAATTAAATTTTTATTAGGAATAATTTAAAAATAGAATTATAAAAAGTACTCCCTCCGTCCCTAATTAATTGTCTATTTTTCTCTTTTTACGTTTCTTAAATTAGTTGTCTTCTTTGAAAAATTAAAATTTCTTTTTTTTATATTTTTATCATTGTTCTTTTAAAAAAAAATTAAAATTTGTAATTATACATATTTAAATTAAAAAGAATAATTTAATAATTTTTTTTTAAAAAACAATGCATTAATTATATATCTTTTTAAAAAATTATAAAATCAAAGATGGAAAGGGACGGAGTTAGTCGCTTTCTTGGAATAGGAAATCAGTGTTCTCTTGAAGCTCCCAAACAACGCCTCGAGAAGTACAATTTGGCGTCAGAGAATTTGACAGTTTCCTAAAAAGTCCTTCACACACAGGGATGGCAACGGGGCGGGTTTGGAGCGGGTTTCTCTAAATCCCGTCCCGCCCCTTTTAATTTTTGTCAAGTCCATGCCCGCCCCGAGACCCGCGACGGGTTGGATTTTCATATCCAACCCCGCCCCGTTAGGAAATACTGTGCCCCCGTGCCCGCCCCACTACCAAATTTTTTTCTCCCACTTTTTAGAACTTAAACTCCTGCTATTTAAATGTGCAAAGCCTAGGAATGACACAACATAAATAAAATTATGTATTCTAATAAATAAATAAATAAATAACATGCACATAACATAATTTAGAGAACATAATAAACAAAAATAAAAGTTTAATACAACCAAATCACAAGAAGTTCTAAGCTCCAACTTCCACCATAACCAAAATAAAAGTAAATTTAATACCAAGTTTACATCCCAAATTAGGATTATAAGAGATGGGTAATTAGGTAAGCCGCTAAAATAACTTATTAATATATATATATATATATATATTAAATATAGTTATATGCGGGGCGGGGCCCCTAGGATATGTATATTGAATCCTTACCCGTCCCGTAACCTTCGACGGGTACAAAATTTGTATCCATGTCCGTCCCAACGGTATAACAAGTGTTCCTATATCCGTTATTAACGGGGCAGGACGGGACGGAGCCCCGACGGGGCGGTAAAAATTGACATCCGTATTCACACACACACACACTTTCTCTGAAAATATCTCAGATTCCACAGTGTCCTAAACGATTCAACAACCTCTCTCTCCTCTCTCTGGATTCATATCTTCACGTTCTTGCTCAGTCATCTCTCTCTAAATCCTACAGCGAGGAACATTCAGTTTAATTTCGATAAATCATCAGCTCCAATGGGGTTTCAGATGGAATCCCTAACCCTAATTTTCTCTCTCCCACCTATCCTTATCTTCTTCACAACATTTCTCATCATGTACCTCATGGCCTACTTCATCGTGTTCCGAAACTGGAACCCTAAGCTCCGACCCGAAGCGTCAAGCTGCTTAATCTCCTTAGCCCATGGCACACCAGCTGTGATCTTAGCCTCTCACGCCATTCTCTCCGATCCACATCGCAATTTCGCTTCAATCAACACAAACTACCAAAACGTAGTTCTTGATTATAGCATTGCCTACTTTTTGATGGACCTTTGTCACTATCTCATCTTCTATCCCAGCGATTTGCTATTCATAGGCCACCATTTGGCCACACTCTTCGTCTTCGTGACGTGCCGGTACGTAGCTCATCACGGGGCGTATGCAATTCTTGTGCTTCTTGTTCTTGCGGAGGTCACCAGCTTTTGCCAGAACACTTGGACTTTCGCCAGTATCCGGAGAGAGGATTTAGCAATTGCAGCCAAAGTGTATGATTTTTTGTCCCCTCCATTTTATACTCTTTACTCTGTTGTTAGAGGTTTTGCTGGACCCGTTTTCCTGTATCAAATGGGTGTGTTTTATATGAGTGGTGCCGTGGAGGATGTGATTCCGAGGTGGGTTTGGGTTTCTTGGATTGTTGTAGTTTTAATGGCTATTTCAGTTAGTATATTGTGGATTTCGAATCTTTGGGTTGAGTTGTATAGAGAAAGAACTGGCAAAAATGAGAAGAAAACTAGATAGAAGTAATGTCTTTTTGTATTCATTTATTGTATGTTCATTGGATGAATTAATTCAATCATGAACATCTTTTTTACTTGCATTATAGCTGTGGAGGTTTTGAATTTGATAGCGGATAGTGTTTGTATTCAGCAATTGTAGCCAAAATGTACGACATTTTGTCACCTCCATTTTATACTCTTTACTCTGTTGTTAGAGATTTTGCTGGACACATTTTTCTGTATGAAATGGGTGTGTTTTATATTAGTGGTGCCATGGATAATGTGATTCTGAGGTAGGTTTGGGTTTCTTAGATTGTTGTAGGTTTATGGCGATATCAGTTAGTATATTATGGATACTGAATCTTTGGGTTGAGTTGTAGAGAGAAAGAACTGGTAAAATTGAGAAGAAAACTAGATAGAAGTAATGGGTTTTTGTTTTCATTTTTGTATGTTCGTTGGATGGATTAATTCAATCATCAACATCTTTTTTACTTGCAGATGAACATCTTTTTTACTTGCACTATAGCTGTGGGGGTTTTGAATTCAATAGTGGATAGTGTTTGTATTCATAATGGTAGCCAAAGTTTATGTCTTTTTGTCACCTCCATTTTACGCTCTTTACTCTGTTGCTGGAGGTCTTGCTGGACCCTTTTTTATGTATCAAATGGGAGTGTTTTATATGAGTGGTGCCACGGAGGATGTGATTCCGAGGTGGGTTTGGGTTTCTTAGATTGTTGTAGTTTTAGTGGCGATATCAGTTAGTATATTGTGGATTTCAAATCTTTGGGTTGAGTTGTATAGAGAAAGAACTGGCAAAATTGAATAGAAAACCATATAGAACTGATGGGTTTTTGTTTTCATTTATTGTATGCTCATTGGATGAATTAATTCAATCATGAACATCTTTTTACTTGCATTATAGATGTGGAGGTTTTGATTTTGATAGTGGATAGCGTTTGTATTCAGCAATTGTAGCCAAAGTGTATGACTTTTTGTCACCTCCATTTTATACTCTTTATTCTGTTGTTAGAGGTTTTGCTGGACCCTTTTTCTGTATGAAGTGGGTGTGTTTTATGAGTGGTGCCGCTGATAATGTGATTCTGAGGTGGGTTTGGTTTCTTGGATTGTTGTAGTGTTAATGGCGATATCAGTTAGTATATTGTGGATTTCAAATCTTTGGGTTGAATTGTATAGAGAAAGAACTGGCAAAATTGAGAAGAAAACTAGATAGAAATAATGGGTTCTTGTTTTCATTTATTGTATGCTCATTGGATGAATTAATTCAATCATGAACATCTTTTTAATTTGCATTATAGTTGTGGAGGTTTTGAGTTAGATAGTGGATGGTGTTTTGTAGCATTGTATGATTGGCTTTGTTTTGGATGTATTGAATGCGTTGAAAAGCTTATTAGCTGTTGTGAATTATGTATGTTTAATTTAACATATTTTTGCCAAGATAATACTTTTCCAGGATGTAATGTTTAAAATACTGGTATAGTAGGGATGTTGACTTCTGTACCAACTTGATGTTGAGAATTTTGCAAAGGTTAGGTATGTACCTAATCCACTTTGTGTAAATAATGTTAAAATTCTGTACCCAATCTGTCCCTCAAAGCATTTGGTGCAATGATGATAAAAGCTCAAGCTGGTTGGTGTAAAATGCCGGTTTGAGCAGAGAAATTATTAGGCGGTCATTCAGAAAAAAAATATATATTATTAGGTGGTCCGGGAGCGTGTGGTCCCGGCCAATCACGAGATGCCATGCAACCAAAAAGTTAAATAAAGTTGACACATTTGGTTGCATAGCATCTCATGATTGGCGGAGACCACGTGAACCTCGAGGGGGTAGTGAACCCGGACCACCCCGCTTTGTGTAAAAATAATGCCAAAGTTTAGGTTTCTGTACTTACCATCAAACCTTTAAAACTTTGTAACTGTATTGTTTGCTGTTAATAGTTAACTTCTATTTTGGTCATCTGAATACAATAGTTTCTCATGATCTCAACCACAAAAGTAGTATTCTTTTTCCTTAATAGAAATATATTATTTTGTCTGGTTTGAATAGGCTAACCAGAAAGGGATATCAAATAAGGTAGAAACAAGCTTGAAATTCAGGAAGTTGATTAGCTTGTTTTTCGATTTCCTTTCTTCCCAGATGTGGTTTTGATATGATATAATTGACAAAGGAACTAGTGAAGATGTGATCCTGAATGATTTGTTAGATGCAATGATTTATAATTTATTTTTTTCTACAGATTTGAGTACTATTGGACTTCATATGATTGCATGGACAGCAGCAGCTAGGTTTCTTTTTTTATTTGTTTTGTTCAATGACCTCTTTTGCTTGCAACATTAATTCAATTAGAATAAGCTGATTAAATTGATGCTGTCATGTGATTCATGTGATGATTTTTCCTGAATAAGGGAGTGTCCCTGGTATGCCTTTTAGTTCATGGCAATAATAAGCACATAGCCATAGTCTATAGATGTTATCACAAGGGATCTTGAAACAGGAGGATGGCAACAAAGAGCTGGTTAGTGTCCTCTTTGAATGCTTGTACTAGATTGATTAAGATTAAATTATTCATTAAAAGAGAAGAATGTCAGTGTAAGGCATCAGGAAAGCTGAATTGCTGCAAGCACATTTTGGATTTGAATTGCTGCAAGCACCTTTCCTGAAGTTAATTACATTTTTGTTGTGTTTGGAAGCACCAATCCGTTGGATTTGGAGTCGGAAGAGATTCAGTTCAAACTTTGAACAAACCAGATGTTTTTTTAATTCCAAATTCAAGACACCAATTTGGTGCTCCCAAACATAGAGGTAAATAATTCGTTGTAACGTTGTACATAAATACCCAGCCAATCTTGTTACCTAGCGGTATTTTCTCTGGTGAGCTTCTATGAGTTGGAATAGCTAAGATGACACCATTTTATAGATGTCATAGTTTATTAAGGAGCCCCTAGCCTAACACATGAATAGGATTGAAGTACTGCTAAATAAATTTAGCAGAACCTATTTTATTTCACTGATACAGATATGAATACTTGTATTAAAGATCTGAAATTCAAACATGAGAAAATAGTGGTATGCAAGAAGTGTCTATACACAGCAAGAAAACAGTTGGTTTTATGGCCGCAACTCCCCATTTCCACAAAGAAGCAGGTAATAAATACCTAATGAGGTCCCATGTATCATAATCCTCAGTCCTTATTCTTGTTTTATTTTCCACAGGAACCCAGTTCCTCTTTGTGAGCTAGGATATGATTAATTGTAGAATTTATAGCTCTTTGCTTGAAGAATGATGTTCCTTAGTCCTCCGATAGGCGATAAAGTCATCAGAAGAAGTCCGAGTGTGATGCAAACCTGAAGTTCATCAAGCCAAACAGATCACAATATTTTCAAGTTAAAAGAAGAAAATACTGAAAATTTCGAGTTGAACATACCCAGTTGGCACACCAAGATAGGCTGAACTTCCTCGGTTTGTAGATGGCTAGCCACATGATGCAAGGGAGCTGAAGAAACGTACAACATTAAAATCTACATTGTTTGGTAGTCAAACTGTCCCATCCTCTGCTGTAGCGGGTTCTCAACAGAATTAAATCGTGTTTCTACACATTACTTCAAGTTGAAAGTAGTAGTGTTGAACTCGAAATAATTTAAATCTAGTTTCTTGTTGAAACTAGATTTGATTGTGTTAAGCGCACCTACAACGTGGTGCTCTGCGCTGCAAAGGATCTTTGCTCATTATATATAGGGTTGGAGAGTAGCTTACAAAGTAAGTCGTTGGGGCAAAAGCAAATCCTCCAAAGAATCCAAGAAGTCCACCAAAGAAAGGGAAGGAAATGGCAACGAACATTGTGAATCCTGGAGCCAAACAAGAAACATCAAATACAGAACAAAACAGTCCCAACCTGGTATAATCTATATGCTCCCAAGTGACAGTGGAAATTTACTAACCCACGTATAGATTTCGGGTTATAAAGCGTAGGGTTATTGAGGGCTTGAACTTCAATTTCTTCACCAACAGTGTTTCTATCATGTCGAAGACTGGCATTGCATAAATCTACATTACACAAATGAAACAAACTATGATCAGTACAAGGATAAACGAGAGAGTGCTGAATCAGACACAAGTTTGAAAAGAACCTGATAACTTCCAATAACATGGACAACAACAAACATGTTAGCCATGGCGATAAGCCATGCCGGTTTCTCTAGTGAGATGAGGATGTTGTCTTCGACTTTGTTTCCGAACATCCGGTATCCAACTAGAGCGACCGGGAAATAGCACAAGGCAACAACAATATAGGCAACAAGCACTCCTTTCCACATGGGTCCCTTGGAAGGCTTCTCAGGTGTGGAAGGGATTGTTGCTTGGATCTCCAAGACCACATTGTGGCCTGCATAGGCAAAAGCTACGTCACCTAGGGCAGTAAAGAAGTTGAAGACTGTTCCTGATGTGCTTTTCGCTTTGTAACCATATTCAACATCCTTTTGCACTCCCTTGTGGACAGAAGCTGTCCAAGCAATGGTAGAATAACTTCACAACAATAACAACAAAGTTAGCACAATTTTCACTAGAAAACAAGGTATAGAATAGGTTTTCGCAAACTTATTAGAAACAATCACTCAAGGTTGAAGTATTGTGTTTCAGTTTCTCTGTCCAACTTGTTCTTTTCTCTCCATATCCATCCAGAACAACCATGGAAAGAACTTTCTAGGATAATCTCTCCATATCCATCCAGAACAACCATGGAAAGAACTATCTAGGATAATCATGAAAAGGTTCTGTTTTCAATTTTCCGAGAATAGAAAACTGTTTTCATAGTTACAAACCAAGCAATCCGACATTTCACTGTCCAAAACAATCCAGATAACTAGGAAAATGCGTTTTTCTCAATAACCTCAGTTCACTAACCAGAAGAACCACGAAAAGGTCTTTCTTGGTAACGTCAGTTCACGTGTAGATGACTGTGATATATGTTCAGGATTGGTACGTTGGAATATTCAAGTTTTCCAGCACTGTTTTTCTTATCTATTTCAAACTTTTGTCACTTTCAATTAGCAGTTTTACAATTGTGCTTTGGTAATCTTTGCATTAGAAGCTGACCCTTCTTGGCTTCTTCACTTGTCGTTGTGTTGCACTGCATATATACTTGTATTCACACACACACATGTATATGTCATTGTTTTCATTTGCCTTAGAATTCCTTTTCATGCTACTACATAAGAGAATAGTTGAGAAACAAGGTAATGAAATGGTATATGCGAAACACTATACATACCTCAAGGACATAACTGCTGCAGCCAAAGAGACCCCGGAGATGGAATTGAAGTTGGGAAGATGAGACAGAACGAAATGGACAGAGGCGAAGATCATTATGAAGTAGGTAAGTTTGATTTCTCCGCAATCCTTACACACAGTCTCATGGAATTTCTTCAGAGACTTCCCTCCAGTCACCATATACACTATGTTCACACCAACTTCACAGATTAGCTGTTGGGGTACCACAATATAGAGACCGAGCTTTTCGCCAAACGCATGCTGACCGAGCTCATGGTACCTGTCGAATCGCTTCCCAGGGACCATCTCATGCATCTCAACCATTTGCCATAGTGTATATAGAGTGATGAGCCATGATAGAACTAGTATAACTCCACCAGGTCCCCTAAATCAAATACAAAAAAAAAATTCACTAGTTTAGAAAATAGTGATTATTGTAGTTTTTTTTTTTTTTTTGGGTAATTTTGATGGTTGTTTCATTGGAGATACCGTCTTTCATACTTTCTGAAAACAGTTTTCTGAGTTCAGAGTTGCAAACTAAAGCATGCTCTTCAAACATCTATGTTTCTATCATTATGACTATTTGCAGAAAACTTATTGTAGAATGATCAATCTTCTACATGAGTTGTTGACATGAACATAATGACGGTCTTGACACATAGGTTAGTGCCATTTTTCACTTTGAATTGTTTCCGAGTTCGATACATACCATCCGAGTTGTGCCATGGCGTAGGGAAGGCTAAGGACTCCGGCTCCAACCATGGCGGTGACATTGTGGAAAGCTGAGTACCACCATTTCGCGTTTCTTGAAGAAGTGATCGGAAGCCAATCATCAATAGCCTTCTCTGCTGCTGTTTTTTCATCAATCTGCAATCAAAGATAGTACATGTGTTCTACTAATCAAAACTTAACCATTAGGAAAAAAAAACTGTGCTCTATTCTCACAAACAATTGTATTTACTGCCATCAGTTTTGATTCTTTCGAGCATATAAACATGTCATTAGTGTAGTTTGTGAGATTTGTGTTCCTATGCTATTTGTGAAGACATGACTATCTTTTATACTTCATATGTGGTTAATGCACAACAAATAATGTTTTAGTTGGTACCTGCAATGATGACTTGAGGGGTTCTGACTGCAACAGAGAACATCACAGATAAATTGTTATATTCAAAAGCTTAATTTTAACATGCAAGAGAATTCATAGAAATATTAATCAGAAAATAAGGGTACATTTGGTTTGTCATTCTGAAAAAAGAACTGAAAATCAGAAATCTGTACAAAAGTTGATTCAGTTTTATGAAAACCCAGCTATAATAATACCTATTTTTTTTTTTTATAGTTCTCTTAAAACAATTCTCTGTTTTCTTAGTTCGTGAGAACTCTTTTCGGAGTTATAAATTGACCAGGCCCTAAAAACCCTAATTTCATTTCTTTGAGAGAGAGATTTACCTCGGTGGTGGTTGGAGCATTCTCGTGAGTTGGAGCGTCAGCTCCCATGGCTACGCGCAGCAAAGTTAGTATGCAGAAGAAGCAGAGGAATGTGTAGCAGACAAGAAGAGAGAACTAAAAACACAAGCAAATAATGTGAAGGAATGTTTAGCAAACTAAAAACACAATAAGTAATCTAATCTGCACTTAGGAAGTATCGTTAGTGTCCATATAGATATATACAAAGAGAGCAGTTTGGAGAGATAGTGAGAAAGTATATTTTTTTTTAGCCATTTTGCCGAATGGAATCTGCAAATAATTAAACAAATGAAACAAATGTGTAAATTTGCAGCTGTCTTCATCTTTCTTTCCTTGAGAACATCATACATGGTGACAAGGTCAAAATGGTGAGCAAGCCAGCAAATGTAACTATATATATTTTATATGAATTTTGCTGTTTCAATATAATAGAATTGTGACATACATGCATATATATATATATATATATATATATATATATATATATAAAAAACACTTACGCATATATATAACACTTAGCGTTCGTTTGGCATGCAATGTGTTTTAGGCGTTATATTTTTTATCAATGCCAAAACAACATTACGAACAGTTTTGTAGCACAAGTGTTTTGGGTAAAAAAATTGAAGCCATGTTTAATAACAAAAATTTGTTTTGAAAAATTCACAAATTTGCTTTAGTTCCTCCGTTACAATACCAAAGCACACAATATCACCAATTTAGTTATATGAGTTTTGACCATTTTTGACCAAAAAAATCTATATGTTATGAACTATTTCAAAGTAATATCAATTTTCCCAAACATAATATGGGTCCAAACTTAAATATTAATGTCATAACACTTCCCAAATGGTCATATTTATATGAAGTAATTCATTAATGTTAATTGATATCAGATTTATTAATTTTAGCTCTAATGATCATCACCGGTGCCGTTAAGTACTATAAAAATTCATCGATATCAACATCATACAAGTCAATCTTAACGAGGGGTGTGCTGTAAATATGGATTTACTAAAATTGTAGTGCTATGAATTATTTGTTAGGTTTTGTATTGTTCTCATCAATCATAAAATTTAAATTTTGCAAAATGAAAAAAGAGTGTAGTAACATCACAATTTTTTTCAAAAATTGCAGCTATTGATAAATTTAGAATCATCTGATTGTTTTGATAATTTCCGAACATGATCTTCTCAACACAAGTAATTTCTGGAAGATTCAGAAGGCACTTGTATTTCACCAATTAGAAACGAAAAATAAAAGAACAAAATAAAACCAAACAATCATGAAAAAAAAAAAAAAAAAAAAAAAAACAATTGAGGCCTTCAAGGTGTTTTGTTAGACAATTCCAAGGCCACATTTCTTTCCCATAAACTGGCAATATCTATGAAATCTGAAAACTACTATCCAAGGTTTCATAGATTGCTAGGCGAAAATCACCGAAACATATAGCCATTGCCACAAAGTGGAGGGAAGTCTCGCACCAACTTCCAACCAAGTAATTTTCGATTTGAACGTAAAGGAAAAGTTTAACGGCAAAGACTCTCACCTCACATCTTGAAGGTCAGGAGTTCGAATTTCTTTGGAGGCCACGGTGTTCAGAAATGGTAGTTTGTCTTGTGAGAGTGGGTAGCTGCCCCGTTTAGGTGTATTTAGGAGTGTAAATTATTGAATTACCCTCGTTTGTATTAATATATATAATTAATACTAAAACTTTTATTATTATGGAATAGAAAAATGATACTAAACAAACTAACAGGGCATCTTAAGTCATAATTTATTATAATGTAGAATGGTGTTTCGGAGCTGAATTATATAGTTTTTTTTTTTTTAATTTTTTATGGTAGACATCCTAGTTATGACATTGCTTTAGGCAGGCAGCCAATTGGTCATCCAGTAAATACAATCAATTTCATCACAAAAAAACTTATAAAAAATTAGATGTCATTGTAATAAATTTTAAATGTTTAGTTACTGTAATATTTGTCTTAGTGTAATTTATAAATTTTAATAATTAAATTAATAAAAAGTTTTCCCAATTCAACTGACTAAGAAGGTAGCAGCCTGCATGGAAATAATTAATGTATCAAACAAAAATATATACGGAGTATTTCTTTTGTTTCGTTGAACAGCAAATTAACTAAGTAAGCAATCTTTGCTCATGTAAATGCTGAATGTAAGTTCTTCTCCCTCAAATTAAGAGCATCTCTATATATTTTATTATGATTATTATTATTGGTAAAATTGATATATCATAAGAGATTTATACTTTGAATTATTTATTTTTAGTTTTATCGGTTGTTTTATACCTTTTGTGTAAAAATATATTCACCAATAACAACCCATCAGTGTTATGTTTAGACTCCACATAATTTTTAATGCAATGGAAAAGAGAATGAAATATGTTGACGTGACTGTATAAAAAAATTGTGTAAAATACATAAACAATTTTACACATTATTGTCGTGACAGTATATCTTAAGAGACGATTGGAGATAGATAAAAAAAATTTACACATCAAGCAGGGTATATTTTACACAAAAAGTGTTTTAGTTATATAAAAATAAATAAATAAATAAAAAACTTTGTTTATAAAATAAAAATAAAATTGTCAATTTCCAACTACAATCCTCCTGTCTGGGAATATTGTTTGGCTCTTGTTGAGCCACGTTGCCAATTTGGAATACAACGTTGGCCCTGCTTAGAAGCATTTATATCCCAACTTTTTTCTTTCTAACATGTCATTATTTATTTCTTTTTTATTTTTTTACTTTAAAAAAAATATTGAGACGTTAGTCTCGTACCACAATATTTCTCTAAGGTACATACCGACTTTTTCCTTGATATGCATCTTTCACCTTTTAAATTTTTAACCTTTACCATTTTAATTCAATGGCACAGATTTTAACCTTTAATTTTAAAATTTTATTTTTTCAAAACTCGCATTTGAGTCGAATCAGTAACCATTACAGTATCGTTATTTGCACCGAACCACCCAACTTATTAAACCCGTCTTCCTCGTTGTTCTCCCCCAAAACCAAAAAAAAAAAGAAAAAAAAAACTAGGGTTTTGTTTGTTCAAAGCTTGTTTCAAGCGACGAATTGCAAGAAAATGTCAGATTACTTACCAAATGATGCGTTGTTCGACTTATTATCTCCTGATGTGTTGATCGACGTCCTCACTAGACTACCGATCAAAACCCTCGGCCGGTGCGCTTGTGTCTGCAAATCATGGTACTATTTGATCACAAACCCTAGTTTCATCACCACACACCTCAATCGATCATCTCTTGTAAACAACAACCACCTTCTACTAATACTCGGAGGCTCCTCTTACTGTCATCTTAAAGAACGTTACTTACTACTAAATGAAGTGTTCGATAAATATGCAGAGTTTGAGTTTCCAGTGAAGGCTTCAGGCAGTTGTTTTGAGATAATCGGTAGCTGCAATGGGCTCCTATGCATCGTCCATTGCAATAATGATTGTGGCTCTGCCATCGGGGTTTATCTATGGAATCCAACGATTCAGAAGTTGATGCGTCTTCCGCCAGCACGTTTGTCATCATTATTACAGGGTTTAATTAGGCAAACCATGGGATTCGGCTTCGACCCAGTGACTGATGACTACAAGGTTGTCAGGATTGTGTATCCGGGTGATCGAACTCTTCCGCAGGTTGACATTTTCAGTCTGAGAACAGGCAGATGGCGGAACATCAGCCATTTGGGTCTTCAATATACCATCTCCGATCTGGCTCCCCAGGCTTGTCTGAACGGGGCTGTACATTGGCTTGCTGAAGGGTGGGTGATCGTGTCATTCCACATGGGTAATGAGGTATTTAGCGAGATCGTGGTGCCTGATGGCAGCGGATTCGGTTCACCTGGTAGTAGTTCTCTTGTTGCTAAGTTTCAAGAATCACTTTCTCTGATTCATGTCCAGACTACTAGTAGCAATTTTAATTGTTGCATATGGGTGATGAAGGAGTATGGCATATCAGAGTCTTGGACAAAACAGTTCAATATTGATATGGATACACCCTTGATCAAAAGTGTAGCTGGGATTACATGGAAAGGTGAACTTCTACTTGCAACAGGTTGGAGTCTGACAGCTTATGATCCCAAAGTCAAACAATTTGTTTCTCATGAGTTGGATGAAGAGTATTTTCCTTTTACAGGATATGGTTACTCATTTTATGCAGAGGATTATATTGAAAGCCTAGTTTTAGTCGCTTTTAAGGAGTCACCTGTTTTGCTTGAAGAAACAAGTAAGAAAAAAAAATGCATGAAAAAAGAAAGAATGAAAAGAAGAGCAGAAAAAAGGTCAAGGCCGAGATATTGATATCTTTTTGTGTCTGATGTGGAAGGAATTCTTTCAAGTCTGTGATGAGGGTGGACAATCAAAATGAGGAAGCCAGACAAGGTGGAGAACACTTGAAAGAGTGGAAGTGGCATACTGAACTCTTTCCCTGTTTTTTTGTTACTTTTACTTTGCCTATAGTACCTAAATTGTATGCTGACGCTCATGATGCTTTTGAACTCTTGGAGCATTTGGGCTTGATATGTCTTTAGATGTTCTGCCGAAAGTATTTGTTATCCATTATTGCTTATCTTTTGAGCCATATTATATTATATGAATTAAGTTGTCAAGAGCAGCTTCTTGAGGTCAAGTTGCTTGCTGGATGTCATACCAAGCATTTAGAAGTCACTAGCTGATTATATTTTGCAGGAAATCATAGCTAGTTTTCCTTTTGGCTTGGATCATTCTTGTCAAGGTTAAGGCTGGCGTGTTTTGCTTGCTAGCCAATCTCGAGCTCAATAAATGAGCGATGTTCACTAATCTTAAAGAGTCTTCTCATGATTATCTGTTTATCAACATGTTCGTGAGTAATGAGTAAAGCAAGGATTATTCAAGTTTGGCCCGCTTACTTAATGAGGTTGAAAATGTTTATTAAATTATGCTTGTGTACTGAGCTAACTAAAATGGACAGAGCTCTTGTTTAGTTGAGCTTGGAACGTGATGAGGCATGGAGATTGCTTCTTTCACTCGGCTAATGGAATAGAATCTTGCTTTTATTAAGATATGAATTGGTCACTCGTTTGACCCCTACTTATGGGCCATGTGCCCCTGACATAGTACAATTAGCACCTCTATTTGGTTAAAAGACTTACCTCTACATATCTGGCATTATAGTAAATTAATTAACTTAAATGATAGTCCAAGACCAGTGTGCTATTCACCCCCTCATTGTTCTGCTCTTCCTTTGACTCGATGGGGATGTATGGCCTTCATGCCACTTATTAGTTATTACCTTGTTTAACGTTCAACCATTTCCTTTTGCCTTATCTAATTGTCTAGTTCTTACATTTCTCTGATACCCTTTTGGAAGGCAAAACTTTAGAGGAGATTTAGCTCAAATAAGAAGTGCAAAACAAAACTGGAAATTCCAGTCAACCAGAAATGAATCTGGCTTTTATAAATAGCCCATGAATTTGTTCTGTTTTCTTTGAAAAACTAAGTTGGTTGTCTTCTATTTGGAGACAGATGATTATTTTATTTTATTTTATTTATTTATTTTATTATTATTATTTTTTAATTCTTGGGGAATGTAGCCATGCTTGTTTGGTGTTTGCCAACTTATCCGGGCAGGTTCTTTTTTTATTGGTGATGATTTGTTTAATATCCTCTATTGGCTTTATAAAAGTTTGTTGATAATATAATTTAACCGTCTGATTTTCACAAATAAAAATCAATTAGTTTTCTAATTTGAGCCCAAAAAATGTAATGCATTTGATAGAAGCAGTAATTAATCAGCTAAATATCTTCATTGATCGATGCAATATGAGTTTTTATTTTTCTGTTGTTTTCTTTTTCCCTTTCAGTATGTCATAGACATGTATTATGTCCTGTTATTTGAGTTAATAACATCTTTGATATGATGGGTTTCTTGATGGTACTCTCAGCTGCTAGATCTTTTTTGCTTCAGTACACTTTTTAATTGATAGTGGAACCATTATAATGACTTCAAGTTTGATGGTAGTTATATATATATAACTACTAATTTTGTTAGCTTGTGTAATTTTTCTTGCTACTAATTTTGTTAACATGTGGAGGGTAAAGCTTTCTCACACATCTTCTATTGTGTCATTTTACATTTATTAGCAATTTCTATAGTGGCCGTGATGTTTATCTTCTTACCCTTATAAAGTTGAAATTTAGTTCCTCTAATTGGCTGGTTATACCTTCTTTAGTTGGATATATTTGGTTTCTGGTGATGGTATGATGACATACTAGGCTCTTGTAACGGTTAGTATTTGGTTTATGGTGGTAGTATGCTGGTGTACTATCAATGAATTTTATGTTTGAGATAGAGTTTTTGAAAACCTTTTAGAAAATCCCAAGTCTTATTGTATTTTGAAAGAGAGTTTTAGGGCATTGGGAACCAACCCCTTGGCCTCGATGGTGTAGAAGACCAGATGCCTCAAATCTTATCTATTGTTGATTCATCAAATCTGATAGTTTATTTTCTCTTCTTTCTTGCAGTCTATTCATCTACATGTGGCTAATTCTTTTTATGTTCGTGAAGCATGGTTTACAATGTAAAAATTCATGTGAATTATTGATACTCATGAATTGTGGCACAGGTTGGATAACATTGATTGGGAGAAGAATTCAGAGCTTCTTCTTCTCCTCCTCCTCTTTTTTGTGTCGTTTTACTAACCCCCTCAACTCTGCTTATAACATATTTTTGTGAGCAAATTAGTTAGTTAAGGCTCTATTTGAATGCTCTATTGTTATGGAGCAAAATGGTGATATCAAGTTCTGTTAAGAGACTGCTGGATCTGCCTGTGATGCATGAAATTGTTTCTCCTGAGAAATTTGATATTTTCACGAAGTGCTTGTGGAATAGTTTTTGTGATTTGAGTACTTACAATTGTGCGATGTTTCTTTCATATGAAAGTTTAATTTATACAAAGTGGTAGGTATGTCTCTTGCCCAGATAGATAGATGTTTTTATTTTTAAAAATTGTTGATATATTGTTGATGCTGCTATGCTATGGAATCTCCAGGTTTTTACTGTGTACTTTGGTTGATCTTATTTTTACTGTGCACTTCAACCAAAATAACAGAATTGTTGCAATAATATGCACATCCTTGCGCTATTTTGGTGACACTGCCGTTATCCTCTTTATCATATCAGTTCAATGCTCACTCGCTTCTCCTCTGATCACTCGTCCCTCATAAACACTGCACTGCCAACAAGGAAGAACAGCCGTTCTCATCGCTGGAATCGTCCATGGTACACTTTATCTTCTGTTTCTGTGACTCTCCTCTATTTCTTCTTGCTTCTTACCACTCTGAAAGAGAGATCAATGTCTCCTGTTTCATTCAAATCTCCGTGCTATTTAACTAAACCCTAACAAATCTTTAATTTTTAGTTCAGGGTTTTTGTAAATCTACTACAAATCAAGAAATGCTTGTAGTTTTGTTTGATTTGATGGGGTCTAGAGAGAGAGTTTTGTTTCCTTGTATGGCATGCATGATGCATTTTAATGAAATCTATATGATTTTATTTTCTTGTCTTCTATCTCGTGAGTACTGATCACACTTAAATGGCAGGCAGGCAGTTGCATCAATTAAAGAGATGCTTGATTTCACTAAATTTGTGATATATTAATGCAATATTCCACCTGAAACAACTCCAATATTTTTACCATGCCGAGAAATTTTTGGATCTGCACAAGAAAACAAGTAAATTAAATATAAATAGTTTTGGGTACTTTTGTATACCCTTTTCTGATTTCATGATTGGCATTTGTTGGGGTTGGGGGAGAGATTTTTCCTCCATTGAGGATATTGTGGACTGTTTGGGTTCCTTGAGATCGTAGTTTTAGTTTTTTGTATAGCTTGGGACGCGTTCTCCTTTTGAACGTCTTCTAATACCTTTTACTTATAAAAAAAAATGATTGGCATTTAGTTTTGATTTAGTTAGGCATGACACTGAGAGTTGTGAAACTTAGTGATTAAAAATTGAAGAAATTATAATATGGTGTAACAAAAGGTGTTTACGTGAGACAAATTAGAGCCTTGAACATTTCCTTGCACAGACACAAGAATTTGTGTGTGTGTGTGTGTGTCAAATCCATATGTCTCACCTCCCTTTGAGGTGTCCTGGCACTGAAGGCAGCACGTGGTCACCGGAGTATCAAAATCAACCTTAATAACTCAAAGATTCAGTTGCGTTGGGGTAGTAGTAAGAAGAACTACCACCCAAAGCAGGAGCACATTCTGGCAAGAGGTTCTGCAGGGGCTTGATTGATCTGACTAGAATGTGGAGGACCTGAGTAACTTACACTCCGAACAGGGTATCTCCCGGAAGGGGTCCTAAGCTCCCGAGTTGGAGCAGACGTAGATGTGGCAATAGTATAGGCTGCCACAGCCATCATCAATGCCGAAAGGGTAGTTGATTGGAATATCACCACAAGAGGTTCTGCAGGGGCTTGATTGAGCTGATGTGAAGCTTAGAAAGAACAGGACCATGAGACAATGGAGTCATTATGTGATGTAGGTCTGTTGGTAGATGGAGAAGAGACATTGTGTAACATTGTATGATCTCAATCCTTTCCTTTCTATTAGCTAATTTCGGTCATGGACTTGAGTTGGTCTAAATGAAATAAGGTGCTAAAATTATGTTGCATGTGATGTCAGTCGGTATATATATTTTCTGGACAAGGATTCTCTCTTGCGCTGGATAGGTCCTGCACCAAATCCAACCACTCATCACTAGTGGGCCTCACCGTGAGGCCCACTAGTGATGAGTGGTTGGATTTGGTGCAGGACCTATCCAGCGCAAGAAATGATCCTTGTCCATATTTTCTACCGTGGAATGTTACAGATAATTAGTACTTTTGAATATTAGTACTCCAATTTTTGTGAAATTTGTATTTTCAAATTACAATTATTAGGCATTGTAACTAAATCTTCTTACATCTGAATAAAAAAATGTTCAATTTTTTTTTTTTTTTTTTTTTTTTTTCGTTTGTCCCAAAATAATTGTGTCACTTCAAATTTTAATCAACCAACGGGGCAGTGACATAACAGTATCAGCCTCTTACTTCCCAAGAAGAGGTTAGGGATTCAAATCTCAGAAGATACATGTGTGTGTAAGTACCAACTAAGACCAAAAAAAAAAATTCAATGAATTTATTTATTTATATTCTTAATTATACCCCGCTTCCCTTAAAATTATAAAAGCAATTAAAATATATGAACCTACCTTGGACATTCATTCTCTATCATTATAATAAAAAACTACACGCTTAAAAAGTTAGGTTCTTAAGACGAGACATTTGTTGTGAAACACATAAGAGTATCATCAGAGGACGAAAAAGGTGAAAAGAAATGTATTAGGTAAAAAGAAATGTGTAACTTTGAAGTCTCCTCTTGCCTATGCGTCTCTCAAAATTCACCTGTCTGAGTTTTTGTTTTTGAGATTCCTCCTTCGTGCTAAATTTCATTGCCATAATGGTGTGAAATTCTCTTGTTTAACACCATTATAATTATGAAATTCACCATTAATAAAAAATAGTAATTAACTTCATCTACTAGATAAAACTTAAGTCACATAAGGCGGAAGCGAGAGCGAATTCGAGAGCGGCAGAACTAAATCTCAAGTATTGAGAATTTGAACAAAAGTGTGTATGGAGTAGGAGTGAGCTCAAAACGTAAAAGCAACATTTGTTGAGAAGGATTGTGTAATTTAGGATGAAACTGCAGAAAAAAGATTTTCTAATACTCACGTATTCATTTTCTCCGCGATTTTATATTTTCCATCTCGAAAGAAAAACCTACAAATAATACAGTATGCATATGCTTCCATATGCACTTGTAGTATTCCCAAGTAGTATTGCAAAATTCATGCACATGGTGGGCACTAACATTGTTAGAATAAAATTAGATTGAGCTTAAAGAAACAACCTCATCATACAAAATAATGCAAAGAGTATTCAATCATTTTCTAATAAAACGGTGTAACTCGAATTTCATTTCGTATCATTTCATCTTTTCGTTTCACAGTTCCAAGCCCACATTATTTCTACAGTATATTCTAAAAAATACCATTGAGGTAGGTTTCACAGATTACTAGGTGAAAACCATCCAACTATATTGCAAATGCCGCCATCAGTATCATCTTGAACTTGTTCAATTTTTCTTTGAGTAGTTGTAAAAAACCACATTCTCTTGGTGTCGAAGGATGATGCTTAAGAGTAGAATTCATAGGTATTGGCTTCAATTATGATCCGTCTTAGCCCTCCAATAGGTGCTAGAACCATCAAAATAACCCCCAGCACAATGCAGGTCTACAGTCATGAAAATCAAATGAGTTTTAAATTCAAGGCAAATGATAAACAATAACAAATATTCGACATTTCGGCCCGTTTGTTACAACGTAAAATATTTTTCTTAAAATATATTTTTCTTTTTCAGGTAAAATATTTTCTTTAATTTTATTTTTTGATGTTCCACAAAGGTATAGGTCGACGAGATTGAAATCAAGTCCATTGGGTAGAATATGTAAAATAATTTGTCAAAAATTAATGAGTAAATTATTTTGTTAAATTTTATTTTTTTTTTTCTTCGTAAATATCTTATGACAACCAAACAGAGCCTCCAAATTGCACATACGTACCCAGTTAGTAAACCAAGATAAGCTGTACTTCCTCGGTTTATGGATGATAAGCCATATCACGCAAGGGAGCTGAAGAAGCATAAAAACAATAGATTAGCAAATTGTATGAAATGCACGAGTAGTAGTCCAGTGAATTAGGGACTAATATCTTCTCCTGTAAAACGGTGTCCTATACCCTCCCGTCATGGTTTGCCTTGCCGTATCATTCGATATGTGATGTATCGGATACGCGAATTTTTTTCAAATTCGATACGCGATCCGTATCAGTCAGTTTACACTGACTTTGTCCAAATCCGTTACACCACGACCGTGACCGACACTACGAACCATGCCTCCAGTTAGTGATGCAAGTTACCAAAATGTTGTTGTGATATTTCATAACATGCATCACTAACCGTTGGGGACAAGTCTACTGTTTCGTGCAAGAGGATTTTTAATCTGTAAATCAGAGTAAGGAAAACTAATAGTATAAGGAAACAAATGAGCAACTTACAAAGTATGTTGTTGGGGCAAATACAAATCCTCCAAAGAATGAAAGAAGAGCTCCGAAGAAAGGAAAGGTCATGCCAAGAAACATTGTGAATGCTGCAAGCAAAGAAAATGTATACTTTAAACCACATATTTGGTGTAAATAATGCCGAAGTGATTGGAGAGGGATTGAATTCACTTACCAACGTATACATTTCGTGTAATAAATCGAAGCATGAAACTTGGCGTGAATTTCAATTTCTTTACCAGCACAGTTTCTATCATATCAAATACCGGCATTGCATAAATCTACATTAACACAATGAAGAACATTACAAACTACTGACGAGAAGAAATATGGAATAAATGTGTTTGAAAACAAGTTTTGACTTGAACCTGATAGCTTCCGATCACATGAATGACGACAAACATGTTAGCTGTTGCAATTAGCCATACTGGTCTCTCTAATGTGATGAGGATATTGTCCTCAACTGAATTCCCAAACATCCAGTACCCAATAAATGCCACAGGGAAGTAGCACAATGCCACAACTATGTATGCTACGAGGACTCCTCTCCACATCGGTCCCTTGGAAGGCTTCTCGGGTGTGGAAGGGATCGTTGCTTGAATCTCCAGGACCACGTTGTGTCCGGCATAGGCAAATGCTACTTCACCCAAGGCAGCGAAGAAGTTAAAAACTGTTCCTGATGTGCTCTTAGCTTTGTAGCCATACTGCACATCTTCTTGCACACCCTTGTGAACAGAAGCACTCCAAGCAATAGTAGAGTAACTGTATGACAACAATAACATCAAACACGTTATGCTTTTCAAACAATTTAACATGCTTTGAAATGCTAAAAATGTATTATTTTTCGTTCCTCTGAAGCTCTTGTCTTGCAGCATTTTAACATTAGTTGCCATTAGATAGCTGCAGCTAGTAGTGTCTACACCATGTGAATCATAGTCAGGGGCGGAGCTACTGAAGGGCTTCCAAAAAAAAAAAAAAAATTTAGTACTAATACTGTACATTAGTTCACAGCCCGATTGCAATCCTGGCTCCGCCCCTGATCATAGTTCAAAGATTTCTAACACCCGTATTTTCCCTTTGTTTTCTCATTTAAACAAAATGGCAAACAACGCGATGACTTGGTATAGGAGAAGCATGGTACCGTACCTCAAGGACATGACTGCCGCGGCCAAAGACACACCAGAGATGGAATTGAAGTTGGGAAGATGGGAGAGCACGAAATGGACAGAGGCAAAGATCATTATGAAGTAAGTTTGTTTGATACTTTTGCATTCAGGACACACTATGTCGTGGAATTTCTTCAGTGACTGTCCCCCGGTGACCATATAGATTATGTTCACACTGACTTCAACAAGCAGCTGTTGGGGCACCACAATCCAGAGACCGAGTTTTTCGCCAAATGCCTGCTGTCCCAGTTCATGGTATCTGTCGAAACGCTTCCCAGGAACCATTTCATGCATCTCAACCATTTGCCATAAAGTGTATAACGTTACAATCCATGATACAACCATTATAGCCACACCAGGACCCCTGAAATTCGAAAAACATATAAGAAATTTATTTGGGTCAAACTGACATCATCAAAATTTTCTCCACGGACAAGAGTACAATTAGTCAATCAAATTATTGGGAAAATAAAAATTTATGCTGAAATGTTTGATTTTCATATAATTTGAAGAACAAATCTATTAAAAAAGATGTAAACACCGTGTAGAACAACTTGAAATTCTTCAAAGAAATAAAATAGAAAATGGGAGGAGGGTCTAAAAGTTAGTGAAAATAGCACTGCATTTTAAAAATCAAACTAACACAGCCATGAACTTAGTTATATGAATGGTGATTGAATTATATAGCTTTATAATAGATATTCCACTGAAAATGGAAAAATGCCACTAAAAAAACTAATAATGTAGAATCAAAATGTATTGTTTTGGATTTGTGCATACCATCCGAGCTCTGCCATTGCATAAGGCAGGCCTAGGACCCCAGCTCCAACCATGGCAGTGACATTGTGGAAAGCCGAGTACCACCATTTTGCATTCCTTGAAGAAGTGATGGGAAGCCAATCGTCGATTGCCTTCTCCTTTGCTGTCCGTCGGTCAACCTGTGATTGGCCATAACACAATTCTTTCATCAAATTCATTACAAAATAACTATAGAAAAAAAATATATGAAAACAACATAATCAAATTGCACAATTTTCTTTCTGCAGTTAAACCAGAAGTTTAACTTTTTTGTCGTAAACCAGACCATATATTATAAAATTGGGTGCATGACATTCTATTAATGGTGAATCATACCAAATACTAGAACATCTGAACCTCCCAATCAAGTCCACTTTAATGGTCACAGAATTTTTTTTTTTTTACAAAAATAAAAATAAAAATTCTATTTTTATAAAATTTTGGTACCAAGTTTCCATATTAAAATATCTTGAAAATCAAAGGGTGATTTTGGCAACCTTGTAGAGCTTTGCTTATTATTTTTTTTTTTTGTAGAATTTGGGATTTGTCAACCAATCAATTGGCTGCTTGTAACAGTATATCAGATATGGAATTAAATCATGTCTACTCTGATAATTGAAGTGGTTACTGTTTGGAATTGATGTAAGGTGTATATTAAAAACAATTTCACCATCAATGATTCAATATAAAGGAAACAAGCTGTCAAGTAGAACACATCACTCAAATTTCATTTCCATATGTGATACTAAATTTTCACTGACAATGAATCAAGTATAAGCTTTTGTATTATTGGAATGGTATTATTTTCAAAACATACGAGACTGATTATAGATTCAACCACTTGGATGAGAGTAGTACACACAGTTTACCTACCATACCTACCAAGAATCCATATATTAATTTCCGATCAAACAAATCGTAAATTCGTTATATAGTCTGAATAAAAAAAACATGTACTGTGTTTTTGAGTTTGTGTTTGTGTGTGTGTATTCATTTGCATCTTAGAATCGAGGATGCCATATACTATATTGAAAGAGGACAGGACTTGATTGTATTTGTAGGGTACACTAGTCAAAACTTAATCTAAAATATGTTTTTAATTTCTTGCATAGTTTCTCTGGTATACCCAAGATTTTCTTTTTCCCTCTATATTCTCAAGAACCAAACATAACATGAGAAAATCTGTTTTGCACTCGTGAGTGGAGAGAGAGAGACTTACAGTGTTAGGGGCATGGTTCTGATCAGCTGGAGCTTGATGACTTTTCATGGCTGTTCAGAGCAGAGTACGAGAGAGAAACAGGGGAAAACAAAACAGGGGACCAAATAGGCAGAGAGAACGTGAACTCAATAAATGATGAGACTTGTTCATCTATTTAAAGGGAACTTTTTTCTCCTCTTCACTGTGTGTTTAGTGTGTGTGTTTGTAGATAGAGAAAGAGATTGAAGGTGACTTTGTTTTTTTAATTTTATGAAGTCTTTAATGGAGACAATGACCTTGTTCAAAAAGAGAAGCAAACAACGACTAAAACACAGTGTCACAGGTTGCTTATATTCTGCAATCTTTGAAGAAAAGTCCACAGATATTATAATATGCACATGCTTCTATCTGTACGGAGTATTTACGTTTTAAAGTAGAAAATTCAAATTCTATGTGCTACCCAAATGTTCTCGTTTGAGTAGTTGTTCACACCTTAATCTTTTGAGTTAGAAGATAAGTGTCCAGTTTAGTATTATTAAACTCAAATTCAATCTTTGATTTATTGTCACGTTAAGTTCGTATTTAAGTTCGTATTGAAGTTGTTCGAGTCAACAGCTAAGATAAGTAAGGTGATACAACTGCAAGAAAAATGTTTTAGAGTTCAAAATCTAATCCAAAAGGAATGGTGAGACTTGTACATGTATTTAAAGGGAACTTTTTTCTCCTCTTCACTGTGTGTTTAATGTGTGTGTTTGTAGAGAGAGAGAAAGAGATTGAAGGTGACTTTTTTTTATTGATTAGAATATATTCTAACAGTTTTGACGAAATCTTTAACTGAGACAATGACCTTGTTCAAAAAGAGAAGCAAACACCAACTAAAACTCAGTGTCACAGGTTGCTTATTATCTGCAATCTCTGAAGAAAATTCCACAGATAATACAATAAGCATATGCTTCTATATATGCACGTAGTATTTACATTTTAAAGTGCAAAATTCAAATTCTATGTCCTCCCAAATGTTATAACTTTATCTTTTGAGTTAGAGAACAAGTGTCCAGTTGAATAAGTATAAAACTCAAACTCAGTTTTTGATTTGTTGTCAAGTTGTGAATGAATCCAACTGGAAATTTTTTTTTTTTATTATTTTTATTTTATATTAAGTTCAAACTTGAGGGCTGTACGTGTGCAATTTTATCCACACCATGGTCATAAATTACGACTAGAAATTTTGGAAAGTTGACTTTTCATATCTTTTTAGGATAAAGTAATGCGTGCACAATTTCTTTTGAAACTTGTTAGCCTTGTTACCTCACCAAATGTGCCATGCATGTCCGCAACTTGATACTACTATACAATTTTTCTAGGCCCTACTCGATAAATGAACCACACGACTCAATTTGGTGGAGGATAGAGTACAATTTAGTCACAGCTTGGACCGAAATATTCTAGTCTTAAGGATTGACCATCATATATATATGTATATATATATATAACACAAATGATCGACTCATAGATAAGTAAAAAAATTATCCACACTAGGACGGTTGGATATAATTATTATGTATTTTTTAAAATTATTTTTTTTTTTTGACAATTATATCATATCTAACTATTACAGGCTTTGACAGAGATCGAGCTAGAAAATTAAGTAGGAGGGCCTATGTGCGGGCAATTTTAAAAGGTATTTAATAAAAATAGAAGAAAATAATAGGTATAAAAAACTAAAAAGAAATTTGTATATACTCTCTGTTCCAAAATAAACTCCATGCTTTTCTTTTTTGTCTGTCCCAAAATAATAGTCAACTTTCTTTTTTCAAATACACATATCACATCTTTTCATATATGTTTTTTGAGATTACAAATTTGAAAGTTGAATATTTAAAACTTAAAAGGGTAAGTTAGTAATTTTTTAAGGAGACAATGCATGTCCCACATGTCCTTTAAAAATTAATTATCCCCATGAACGATACTTAAATTAGAACGGAGGACATATGTATTTGTTTAATACTATATAAATAAATTTATGCAAGAAATTAGGTGTTATATTTCAACTTTTTTTTTTCAGAATAAGCAAGCACGATTATAGCAAAAACCTGGGACTCCGCGTTGAGTTGACAAATATATGATTATGGGACTCCGCGTTGAGTTGGCAACGCAAGCACGATTATAGCAAAAACCATGGGACACCGCGTTGAGTTGGCAAATATATGATTATGTCTCAATTGGGACTCGAACCTCTCTAACCTCATTTAAAAAAATAAGAATTTGATACCGCTCAACCACTGATTCTTTAATAATTATATGTCAATATTGATAATCATTATCATGTCATCTCCGTATAATTATATGTCAATATTGATAATCTTTATCATGTCATCTCCCTATTAAATCCAAATTTTTATTGGTAAATGATGTTATTATTGATGCATTCTCCGCCCACCACAGACAACATCACAAATAAGTTCACAATTTCGTAAAGTGAAAGAATAAGAGAGAAAAGTCAAAAAAAGGAAAGCCAAACATTCAGAAGACGAATTGAGTGGTTTTTGGTGGCAAAAAGAAGAATTTGAAGGCTGCAACTCATTGGAGGAGCTTGAAAGTAATTTTGAGGCGTCGAAGAAACTGAAACAAAATATGGCAAATCGATTGAACGGTGTGAGGTGTGAGCTCTTCGAAGGAACGTGAAATTAGTTCTGCTTCTACTTCGATAGACATTAACAACCACCAAATGATTCGAAATATGGATTTGATAAATTTTAATCATACCTTAATAATGGAACCGAGAGTAGACTTGTTGGAGAAGGAAGACGATACACAATCTTTAGTTTTGATCGATTCTGGAATTAGCACGGATCAATTGTTTGACGAAACACAATATTTAATGTTGATCATGGATGAATAATTGTTTGATGAAATTGTTACGGATTGAAGAGAATTTTATTGAAATATTTACTCTCTATTTCCACTTCCTTATATGTAAAGGCTACTCTGAATCTTCCTGTTAATGAACTTTTTTTTTTTTTTAAGTTGAATATTAATGAACTATTTTCTTTCAATGTAAAAGTCATTTTTTGTTTATGTATGGTTTTTTTTTCTTTTTTTTTTGTACTCTCTTTATCTTTATATATTGCAGACAATTTTTGCGAATTCCATGTTTGGACGTATTGGTTTGAAATTGAAATTTAATTTAATTTAATTTAAATTTTTAATATATATATATATATATAATTTTAAATAATCAATTCAATTCAATGCTACCAAGCACAATATTCATACTGTTTCGGACCATTCGTATCTATCTGCGTTAGGAACCCAATTCATGTATTTCTTTGTTTTTATGTTTTTCAATTGCAAAGTTCATTATTGAATGAGATTCGAAACAAGCTCTAATTGGTCCAAAAGAAGCCCAACCCTATGCTAAAACCCTGGCCCAAAATCTAGCCCAATCCAACCACTCATTTAGGCGTTAGGGTTTTTCAAATACATTTTCTTGGAGAAGAAGACTGCACACACTAAAACCCTCGATCCGTCTCTAAAACCTTCATTCTGCCTCTCTCGCTCTCTACCTAAAACCCTCCCCTCTCTCTCTCTCTGAAAAACCTTCATTTCAGATATGGGTAGCCAAGCAGCAGTGTCCTTCCTCACCAATGTTGCCCGCGCCGCCTTCGGCCTCGGCCTCGGCGCCACGCTCGTCAACTCCTCCCTCTACACTGTTGACGGCGGCCAACGCGCCGTCCTCTTTGATCGCTTCCGCGGTGTCATCAACGAGACCGTCGGTGAAGGAACTCACTTCCTCATCCCATGGCTCCAAAAGCCCTACCTCTTCGACATCCGAACTCGGCCCCACACCTTCTCCTCCGTATCCGGCACCAAGGATCTCCAGATGGTGAACCTTACCCTCCGAGTCCTCTCTCGTCCCGAGGTCAAAAATCTCCCAAACATCTTCAAAACCCTAGGTCTCGAATATGACGAGAAAGTCCTCCCCTCGATCGGCAACGAAGTCCTCAAGGCCGTCGTCGCGCAGTTCAACGCCGATCAACTCCTCACTGAACGTCCTCACGTCTCTGCAATGGTGCGCGATAGCCTGATTAAGCGTGCGAGGGACTTCAACATCGAGCTCGATGACGTTGCCATCACGCACTTGTCTTATGGTGCTGAGTTCTCGAAGGCGGTGGAGCAGAAACAGGTGGCGCAGCAAGAGGCGGAGCGGTCGAAGTTCGTTGTCGCGAAGGCGGAGCAGGAGAGGCGCGCGGCGATTATCAGGGCTGAAGGAGAAAGCGAATCTGCGAAGCTGATTTCTGATGCGACTTCCGCTGCTGGAATGGGATTGATCGAGCTGAGGAGGATTGAGGCATCTAGGGAGATAGCGTCGACCTTGGCCAAGACACCAAATGTTGTGTACCTGCCTCAGGGAAACAACATGCTATTGGGGCTCAATCCTTCCATGGTGGGCCGATGATTTGGTGGTAATGTCAGTAACCCTATTGTTGCCTACAATTTCAATAACCTTATTGTTGTCTACTATAATAATAGTTTGCAGTTCATGAATTTAATTGCTGATTGAATTTGGGGGTTCTTTTGGTTAAATACAGTGATTACAATTGTGTACATCTTTGTTTCACTGCTTCGCATTTGTTGATCGGTCATTTCTCAACATTTTACTTCAACTTCATTTTTTCCCCGGAAACTACAGTATATGATTTGTTATGTGGTTAGAACTCTGGTTCAGGGCACAAATGAGTCAGTAATTCTACACAATTGAGCATCTCAATAAACTTGGAAATAGAGTGCTATTTGGTGATCCAATTAATTACCTAAAGCTCTTAATTAAATGCTTTTGATAAATGCAATTTACATATAGAGATCATTTCCCTAATTAATGGGTTATAATTTTAAGTGAAAAGGATTTAGTACACAGTGAAAAGAGTTTTAGTACTCTAGTATGATGTGTGTATGAATATTTTGAGTCTTTGAGAGATCAATATAAAGAAACTGGGATAATCTAAATTTAATGATTCTATTGATAAGAAGGGGCTGAAAATGGTTGGGGTTCATCTATTTCTCAGAAGAATAATCTTGCAAAATAAATCTACTTACTGATGTTCTTTTTTATTTTTAATTGACTGTCTATTACTATTTTCCTTAAATTGGTTAAGATGATATTCAAATTGCTTTTGCATTTTTCTGATATGGCTTGATAGTTGATAGTATATTGGACATCTTTGAGTGGCAGCTACGAGATTCAGAAAGCCACAGGACTATTTGTGCATTCTATTAGGTTTAATGATATTATTGAGATAATTGTGGAAATGATTGCTGCCTCATTTTGGTATGTAATTGGTTTGTTGTGCTGCATGTGATGTTCAAGTCCCATTTTTTTACAATCAAGACCAGACTAAATGTGGTTATACGTCTTATGTGAATTATAATCAAGAAACCGGAAGAAGAAAATTAGGACTGGAGCCGTCCATTATAGAATCGTCAGAAGTATATGTTAACTATTTCTCGATATGCCTCTTCTCTACAATCCGAGGCTATTACACTCTTGATGTGTTCTTGACAATTGGCATTCATCTCTTGGCCATGTTTACATGTGCAAGCATAAGGATCAATTTTCCTGGCCTGTTAGCTTTCAGTTGTCACTGCAAATTTCTCAATACCCATTTAGGCATGCAAAGGTTGTCTGTCAAGACAAATTTGAGGCAGTGAGTGCCTTTTCAGTTGGATTCTTGATTATGTTGTAGCATGGACACGAGATCTCTACAAGTACAACGATAGAGATTTTATTTGAACATTATGAGTATTGACATGCTTCCAGATTTTAACCAGCTTCGATTATTTGACTTGCCTGAAAGTGCTTTCCATGGCTCGTTGGGTTTTTGTCAAGGTTTTATGCTTGAATATGTTTCATTATGTTTTGGGCCTTTTGGTTTCTTTTGCAGGGTATAGTATTGTCATGTTTCTTCATCAATTTATTTTTGCCATTTTTTTTTTTTTTTTTTTTTTTTTTTGATGGATTTTTGTAGATTTTTATGCTTCAAGTCATGTATTTTATCACCTTTTGGTTTTCTATGGCAGGTATTGTTCTGATATGCCTCTTCATCAGTTCGTTTATAGGTGATCTATGGCTGTGTGTGGTTCTTTTTTTCGACTCTATTCATCATAGCCATGTTTCAGTGTGTTAATATTTTGTACAAGTTCTAACTATGCGCACTTATTTTTCTGCCCAATAAAAATCTAAATATTATGTTCACATATATTCATTCAAACATGGGTTAGATCCAACCAATGGTTGCAGTTTGTTAGATATGCCTGCAGAACTCCTAGTGATAGTGATCTGATGGTTCATCTTTTAGTAAGCCTCTTCCACAATTTGTGTACAGTCTGTTTTGCCTTAGTGGATAAGTCTATTGGATTGCTGTGGCCTCTAGTCCCTTTAGAGGGAGTGTAACGGGTGGACGCTTGCTCATTTACCCAAAAGTTCAAGTTGTTGGGTAGTGCTGCATACCCACGCATTTATACCCAATCACTTTCCCATCCGAATCCGATGTAGGACAAATGGCCCCTTGTAACATTTTGCCCCACCCGAACTCGCAACACTCTCGTTGTGGTCAGGCCACCCTGCCTACCCAGGGTGGCTCACCCGGACGCTTGGTGTGGCACCGGATCAAGAATTTCATCTGGCTCTGATACCAATTATAACGGGTGGATGCTTGCCCATTTACCCAAAAGTTCAAGCTATTGGGTAGTGCTACATATCCATCCATTTATACCCCATCACTTTTCCATCCGGATCCAGTGTGGGACAAACAACCCCTCGTAACAAGGCAGTAATGGCAAGTATGACCTTCCACATTCTGATCAAATTTTTAGTGTTGGAAGGTCATTTTGTTGATACTTGATGAACTTTCTGTTGGCGCTGATTGTTTTGCTAGGCTAGTGTAGGTATCTGATGGGCTAGTGTTGTCATTGATGAGGTTGAAAATCAGGTTTCTGTGGATAAATTGTTCCTTGAGGATAGTTGATACCAGAATTACTGGAGAAAAAGATCCTGTAAAAAATATGAATATTGTGAAGCTTATTAATGCCCCAACCCCCACCCCCTCCCCTCTATCCTCCTCTTAAAAAATACCACGTGCTTCATCTCATGCTTGGTTTTCTTTGCAAATCCCTAAAGCTGGTGTCATTTATTTTAAATGTGGTTTTGGCTCTCAGTATTGTTCGTTTGAGGCAATGGATGTGATCAAATATTTGTCAAAGCCTTTGTTTTGTAGATTATTTCTCTCTTTCTTCATGGTATAATTGAACATTGGCTTCACAGTAAGAAAGCATTTATGTTACTTGAAGGTATATAGTAATGACCGGAAGAAGTGAGGGATCTCCTTCTGCGACTTTTAGCCCTCACAAATTATATGTTTGAAGTAGTATCTCGTTCAGGGAAATGTTTGTGACTTGTGAAGAGTTTTCCAAACTCATTGGGAGAAATTGCGTTGAATTCTTAGTTAATGCTATAATCTTGGTAGTCTGTGGGTTTGCATTTAAACTTGTATAACATGGTTTCAGGTTTTATTTCCTTATGGCTGATATACCCATAATTCGAAGATTCTGATTTCCTTCGGTTTCTTTTGCTTGCAGGTTTTTGTTGATGGATGGCTTGATCCGGTTAGAGAGATAGTTGATGATACCTTGCAAGTTACCTCCTTTCTGGCATTTTACTTTTTACTCAGTCTGTTCTCATGCATTTTGGGGAATGATGCTACTTTGAACTATTTTACCAGGATTAGCATCTACTGAAAATTGAATTACTTGGTTTATAATTTCAACAGTAACGGGTTATTGTTTGACCTTTACTGTCTATTATAATAGTTTTAGTTGACTCTGTGCAGTCTTTATTCGGTTAAACTTATTTTAAATGTTAATAAAGGTGAAGTTGGATCACTTACAAAACACACTGAGAAAGAATATCAAGACCCTGAATGCTTCAAACCACTAAATTCCCTTCAGTTCATTTGAAAATGACCAAGATTACTTTGAAGTTTTGTTTTTCATTTTATTATTATTTTTGGGGGTTTAAGGGATGGGAACCAGATTGATCTGGTACTTTGGGCTGTCTTGTTATGCATAATTTAGGGGGAAAAAAATTAAATTCTATATTAAATCAAGATTTTGATCTGGTATTGAATCAACAGGTTTGGGTTGTCTTGTTATGCATGATTTTGGAAAAATAAAAATAAATTCTACTATTAAATCAAGAAATTTATAGGAAACAAGTGTCGACACACGTTTAACATCTATGTTTCTAACTTTGTAGCATTAAGTCTAAAATGCAATGAGAAGGAACAAATCTGACTAGAAAGCACGGCAATGAGAAGGAACAAATCTGACTAGAAAGCACGGCACACCGTGTCTACCTTAAGGGCTGGTACGGAAGAATGAAATAAGGTAGGAATAGAATGAACAAGATAATGAAATGATCATTCTTATTTTCTAGTTTGGTTATGCAAGGTTTAAAAAGGAAAACTAATAAGTATATATATATATATATGTAAACCAAATAAATAAATAAATCTATATATACTAATCTATATATGTATATATGTAAACCAAATAAATAAATAAATATTTTTGATGTAAATTTGGAAATTGAGAAGCGAATATTAAGAAAAAGTTGACTATTATTGGATCGCGTTGTTTGAGAAAAATATTTATTTTTACTCAGAATTCTCGAGAAAGGTGGAGAATGGACATTTCATCTTTAAAATTACTTTCGAAACAAAAGAATGAAATTAAAAACATCCCATTCCACTTTATTTCATTTTATTTCCACCTACCAAACTAACGCTAATAGAATAGCGAAGAAGTTTGAATGTTCAACTCAATAGCGTTGTTTGGAATTTGAATATTTTTTTTCTTGGTTGGAATGATGACATGGCAAGGTACATTTGTTATTTTTCTAAATAGTAAAATGGAATTTTGATGTAATTTTAAAACATACTATGATTTAATTTGAAAAATAATATTAGGTTATAAACAAAAAAAAAAAATGTAGACCTTTGACATCGGTTTCGGATGGAAAAATGAATGGTTATATAAATGGGTGTGTGAGGAGGCCCGAGATGACATGGGCCGGATATGACTTGCAAACGCGACATCCGGTCCGTACAGATTGGTCAGGCCCATAGAAAGACACTGCCATATGGGCCGAACGCGAATAAGCCCATCAAAAATGACCAGGACTCATGGAGGAACGGGCCTAGATCCAGCAGTCCATCAACATTTGTAAATATCTATAAATAGGAGAAGTAATGGAAAGAAAGGGGGGATATTTTTTTGGTTGAAATGCAAGAATTCTAAAGAGAGAAAGAGGGAAAGAATTTCTTGTATCTTCAATTAGCGCGGTCTGTGGGAATCATGGAAGATTGGTTGATCAATGATTAATATCGCGTGGATTCAGACCAATTCGGGTGATCGAGACTCGATCTTTGGGAGTTGGATCCAGATCTGAGCGATTGTGACCTACTCTGGAGGAATTTTAGTTCCTGTAGCTTTGGCAGAAGTGGCTTCAGATCTACGCAACAACGAGTTGTTCGATTGTGGCAGGATCTGACGGATTTAGAATTCGGACAATTCAGATCTCGTCAACCGTGAGCATAATTCGGAGAATTCGAAACCAGATCTGAAAAATTCCCACTCACGAAGCTCGGATCTACTCGCGAACTTGAGATTAATGCCTTTACTCCGTTCAGGAATAATGATAGGTGAAAGCTCCAATCCGGTGGAGGCTGTCCAGCAAACAAAGTTTGAGGAGTTGATGAACTTGATCGAGGCTCTCAAAAAAGAGAATGCAGAATTGAAAGCTGGAATGCAACATCAGCAAATGCCCGCGGTTTCGCGTCCACCTCCGGCCGGAGAAGGAGGTGTTCAATCTAATATCGCGCATCAAGGCGAGCAGGACGAGAACAGTCAGTCAGCTCTCCACCGTGATGAAAGAAGGATGGATGATTTGACGCCAAATGCTCGTCGAGTTGAGGATCACGAAGGATCGACTCACGTTGATCCGCGACATGAGCAGATCAGACAGAACGAAGCCATGACCTTCGATCTGCATCGGGAAAGTTGATCGCCGCCAAGTTGCGTCGCCTTGGCAAAGAGAGCTCATAGAGGAACGGTCGTTCGATCCGTCCTACCGGCCCTCCATGGCTACAATCACTCATCGCGGTTCGGAGAGCAGAACCGTAGCCCACAGAGCTACCACTGGGCGCCAAAGAGAGAATGAAGCACTCCGATCCGCGGCTCGAACGGTTGATTCACCATTCACTGACGAGATCCTGAATGCCCCGCATCCAAGGAAGTTTGTTATGCCAGTATTTATTCTGTTTGACTGAACAACCGATCCGATCGATCATGTGTACCATATCCAGTTAAAGATGGCCCTAAATACTGAAAACGACGCTTTAATGTGCAAATGTTTCCCTACAAGCCTAGCTGGACCGGCGCTCAGCTGGTTCAAGAACTTACCTAAGAGCTCCATTGGTAGCTTCCGAGATCTGTGCGATCGGTTCATAAGTTAGTACTATGGGAACAAGCGTCCGCCAAAGGACATCTCAAGCCTATTCACAATGAGACAGCACAAAGATGAACGTCACCAGGCTTTTCTCACCAGGTTTAATCTCACTAAGAGTATGGTAATCGAATGCCACCCTTCTACAGAGGTTCAAGCCTTCAAGTTAGCCATGACACGTGGCACTCCGTTCCATACCAGTCTGGTAGTGAACACGCCGACGACTATGGATGAACTCAATGAAAGAGGCGACGGCTTTGTGTGCCTAGAAGAAGAAGAGGCAGCCAATGCTCGAACAGCGTCGCTCGTGTCGACCGAGGAAAAGTCCAAGGCAAAGATCAGGCAGAAGCAGGCTCAGCCGCAGCGTCAGACCTCCTGGAAGGCAGAAAAGAGGTCCAGGGAGGAAGAGCTAATCACTCCGCTGAAGGTCACTCTGGCGAGGCTATATCAGGAGAACAAAGATAAGTTTCATCCACCACTACCAATTAGGCAACCCCTCGAACAGAGGGATCAGACTAAACATTGTGCTTTCCATTCGGATTTCGGTCATCAGACTAATGAATGCAGGAATTTGAGAAGGCAAATGGAGATGTTGATAGCTAGAGGGGAGTTCGCGAGTTATGTTCAAGGCTCGGCGACAGAGCAGAATCGACCGATGGAACAAGTAAAAAGGAGCCATAAACAAAGCTCCCACAATTCACAACCAGTTCGTATAATCAATGCTATCCACGGTCGACCCGAGCCCAGCGAAGATTCAGATGAGCTGCTCCGAGCGCGCCTACGGCAGGCGCAGATGAAGAAAAGGGTCAGCAGTGTGAATACTCTACACCAGCAGATCACATCGATACAGATAAAGTTCGACAAGACAGACCTGCAGCGTGTTCAAATCCCCCATGAAGACCCGTTGGTAGTCAGTTTAACAGTGGCGGACTGCCTGGTGCGCAGAGTTCTGATCGATCCCGGGAGCAGTGCGAATGTCATGCCGAGGGACACATTTGATCGGCTCGAGATTAAACCAGAGAGGCTCAAGCCCACTGGAAATCCCTTGTTAGGATTCGATGGCAAGAGGGTGGAGCCCGTCGGAATGGTGGAAGTAGAAGTTCAAGCTGCAGAACGAGCTCTTATGGAAACTTTTGTGGTTGTAGAGATTCACCCCTCGTACAATCTCCTGATGGGAAGAGAATGGATTCACAGAGTCTAAGGAGTACCCTCAACTTTGCATTAGGTCATGAGGTGCCTCGGACCCGATGGAAATAAGGTAATAGACATTCGTGGGGATCAGGTTGCAGCCAAAGAGTGCTATTCCGTCACACTAAAGTATGCTGGGAAAGGGAAGGCGCCCGTCCGACCGGCAAGCCCCAGATAGCAATTACAGGAACCTCCGCCCAAGCAGAACAGGGTGGAGGAGTCGGTTGACTTGACCGAAGAGCCCCTTCTGGATGTGCAGATCGATCAGTCCAGGCCAGAACGAACTACCAGAGTAGGAATAAGACTGACCAGGGAAGAGCGGCAAGAGCTAGCTGACTTCTTGTCTCACAATACCGATGTATTTGCATGGAGTCACCTAGACATGCCTGGAATTAATCCCTCCGTATCCTGTCATTCCTTGAATGTCAATCCCAATTTCAAACCAGTAAAACAGAAGCAACGAAGATTTGCTCCAGAACGCAACCAAATCATAGCCGAGGAAGTTGATAGGCTGCTTGATGCGGGATTTATCAGAGAAGTACACTACCCTGATTGGTTGTCCAACGTCGTTGTCGTGCAGAAGAAGAATGGGAAATGGCGAGTATGCATTGATTTCACCAATTTGAACAAAGCCTGTCCGAAGGATAGCTTCCCGCTGCCAAAGATTGATCAAATGGTGGATGCTACCACCGGGTATGAACGCTTAACCTTTCTGGACGCTTATTCAGGTTATAATAAGATCCCTATGGACCCGGCAGATGAAGAAAAAACTTCTTTTGTAACCGAGTGAGGGACATACTGCTACAAAGTTATGCCTTTCGGACTAAAGAACGCGGGAGCAACTTATCAAAGACTTGTTAGCAAAATTTTCAAGGATCAAATAGGAAAGATTGTGGAAGCCTATATTGATGATATGGTGGTAAAGAGTAGAAAAAAGAATGATCATCTGAAACATCTGCAAGATATATTTGATGTGCTGAGGCGATATGGGATGAGGCTCAATCTAACCAAGTGCTCGTTCGGTGTGAGTTTCGGTCAGTTTTTGGGACACGTGGTCAACCGCAGAGGCATCGAAGTTAGCCCCACTCAAGCAGAGGCTTTGATTAAGAATGCCGAGCCAAAGACGATCAGAGAGGTGCAAGCCCTCACAGGACGAATAGCTGCATTAAGTCGATTCATTTCAAAATTGTCAGACCGC